ATTGTTTGCATCAAATAGAGTGAAAGAAAGGAAGTAAAATTTTTGAAATGATTTCCTAAAGTTTTGTTTTCATTACTATTTCATATGATAGATCTTTTTCCTTCTCAAAATTTCTGTCTTTCTTTTTTAATTTTCATTCCTTCACTTATTATTATTATTATTATTATTATTATTATTATTAATTATTATTATTATATCATTATTATTATTATTAATTATTATCATTATTAATTATTATTATTATAGCTTTCTCACTGAGGTAAACCATGCAAAGGGAAAGTTTGATAAAAGCACTTACCCAAATTCAGGTCCTTTCATTGCAGTAATATCGAATACCTGGCGTGGATTCAGAAGCCAGCAAAATGTGTGTAACAACTTGGAACCTTTGTTACCACCTGATTTCGGATTTACAAATACAAGCAATGGCTGACTTGGAAGCCATGTGCCATCATCCAAAGGTACTGGTCGTATCCTAAACAGCCTGCGCTGAAATAATGAAACTTTAGACAACAGCGATTCATTTCAGTGATTCATAAGAACATAACAGACCGTGCTTTTCTGCCTGAATTTCGAAAATTTTTCTCCGAAAAATTCTGAAAAATCCTGGATTCAAAACAAATAAAAGCAAAAAACAACAAAAATATTTGTAAGACATGTTTATGAAGCTAGGCAAAAATTTATTATTACGTGGTAGTATCAGAAACTGATTTTCCTCCTATAAAACCACTAATACATTAAGTTTGAATCCGAAACATAAATAGCTATAATCAGGACGAGTCATACCTTCCTTCTTTTCGCGACTTTCTTTCTTTTCCTTGTTTGAATTTGATTTGAACACTGAATCCACGTCGGTGGCATAATCACTTCTTTCAAATCACCGCGATCGCATGATTTCTCAAAACACTGTGATGAGAAACATTCCACTTTGTTATGATATGATCGTTTGCACCACGAACAAGTGATTGCGATTACCTCCTGTAATTATATTTATTCTTTGATTACCTTCTTATTAATTGCCGAGTTACTTTTTCCTTTCCCGAGGGGTTTCCTATGGCCCATTCTTCCGAGAATTATCCTACTTTGTTGTTTTTCCTTTATATTATCTTTTTCTATTTCCTTCCATATTCTTAACAGTCTATATCACGGTAAAAGAAATTACCTGCTTTTGAAATTAATTTTGTCTTTCCCTATAAAAACTCAAAAGCAAATCTTGTAATAGCAAATATGCATTCATCATTAAAACAAATTATGGAATGAAACATGAAGACTAAACAATTTTGTAACTTAACATAGAGAAATTGCCTAACACATAAGAAATTTCATTGGAAGATTTTCTACTGCGGTTGCCAATCAAGTAACCATAACCCTCGTTTAGTGTCCTGAATTTAATTTAATTTAATTTCTCGGAAAAACTTGTTAGTTTTAAAGAATTTGTTAGTAGAAAAAGTTAGCATTAATATTAAATCGAACTACTAAGCAAATAGCGAAAAAATAAATTTCTTCTATCCATCCTCGAGATAATATTAATCTTTGTACGGAGATGCTACTAAGATTAGTCCGCCATATCATGCATATTAATTGTTTACTTACCGAGCACTATAATTTTTTTCATCAGGCTCACAACTTAAGAATCCATACCATTCATTAAATCTATTCAGGCCTTCTTTTATATGAAAAATAGCTAAAACAAATGGTGTGCGCAGCCTAAATTCACCTTATCATGGAAAATTTTTTGCTGAAACGATTTGCCGCAACGTAGGCAGCGTCCTTCCTGCTTCCATTTATGCAGCCAGTGATGTCCACTTAGCGATTCCTCCATGACACCGCTACTTGAAGCAATTTGTTTCTTCACTGCACTTTCTTCGTAATATGTTATCTTGCATTTCACATATAACTAAAGTGGAAAGAATACTGTCTTGGTAGATCTTTCACATTGCAGTTTCATGCATAAATTTGACTGTGTAGATTTTTGACGGCTTTTTCATAAATAGCCAGCTTTGCAGGCTGCTTGTGATGAAAGACTTAGTGGATTCCGAACGATAAGAGAATTTTGCGAAATTCTGTAAAGAAATTATTTTGCAAATTATAGATGAACTCCTAAGTAATGAATACCGGAAACCGACCTGTCGTAAAATTGGTAAGCATGCTGTATGCACCACGATATGACATGCAGCACAACTTCGTTTTTCACCAATTTTCCGGCAATCTCGTTCACCTGCAAACATTTTATGGTTATTTTTGATATATTACTTCGGTTCAGTATAACCATCGGTTTGAAACAGATCTTAACAGCACAATTATTTTAGGACAAATTTTTTATTAAAATAGGTTCTGACCAACTGAAAGCAGACTCAGATGGGATTTTCATCCATAACAATGTCATTTTATATAGCATATGCAATGATCCAACACTGACATCACAAGTTTCCTTCAGAAATTCATCATTTTGGTGAAAAAGAAGAAATCGACCTTTTAGTCGTCTCAGACTTCTAGAGAAATGAAATTTCACTGACCAACATAACATTCAGTATCACGTGAACTGCTTGCCATAGTGCTTGGTCCTGATGAAGGTATCCAAATATGCTCGTCGGCATGGATCTGGAATCTTCATGGCTTTCATGCGAAACTTTTTTCTCAATCAATGTTAAAAATCAAAAAATAATATCTTCTGATGCATTGTACAACGTATTATTTCCGGATATCTTCTATTATTTTCACTCTAATATCACTCATAATACTTCCTTTCAATCAGCTTCGATCATAACTAAAAGATGTATTCAGTCCTTTCAAATAATCTGAATCGAAAAATGCTACATCTGCCTGAAATATCAGCAGTGATCAGCTAGCTAATCTCGCACCATACCTGTACCAGAACTGCTAACCTTGAGATCGAACCAATAATTCTTCGTACGATGCTTGCATAATGTTGATGGGATACCATACAATTGGGATGAGTGTACATCCACTAATCGTTTAGCCACCGTTGATTTAGCTAATGCTCGCCTATATCAAATTGAGCAGATCAGCATAATTATTCTTTTCCATAAAATGAAGGAAATTTTCATTACATTTAAATTTTTAGAAGAATATAAGTACTTTCTGTGGCAGAGAAAAAATCTTTCTGAAGGATGTTAATTTATTTAAATTTTCAAGCGAACTTCAACTTTGCAGCGTCACCATTTTTAATGACATAGACTTGTTCGGTCCGGTTCATCCGACAGTCAAGAAATTATCCCGTGTTACTTCTAGAGTAAATTGTATTCATAGCCATAAGCAAGTAGCATATATATGTAGTCGCGAATAATTAATTAATCCTTGGCCGTTGGCCAGAAATCTGATGCTGCTGGAATGGATAATGATACCCTCAAAATGTTGTTCTTGGGAAACTTTTTAAAAAGATGCAATCTGTGTGGTTAGCGCAATTAACAACTTTGTCGCTTTTTGCTAAACCACTTCCTCCGTGGAGTTTCACGCCGAAAAATACGAGAAAAGTGACCACCGGAGACGATGGATGTTATCAGTCCGTTGCTTAAATGACTGTTACAGACAAGTAAAAACTGATTTTAGCATGCAAAAGATATTTGGAACCAATTCTAACGAATTCAAAAATGTTACCATAGCTATCATGGATAGAGAATTGAGCATTAGTTAAAAAGTTAATATGGAGACGACATATTTTATCAATTAAGCTGATATGTTAACTAGAAGTTTCATAAAAGGCCTGCTGGAATGATCTTACACAGTCTAGAATAAAAACGGGAATTAAATCTTCATAAAAAGTTTTTTTTATGATTTTTCGCATCCGTCAGATTTTTATGAAAAGTTAGTGATGCGATCTTTTGTTTTTTCTTGAACATCACTTGAAATTAAGGAAAACGTTTAATCAAGCCGAAACATTTTCATCCATTTTTAGCTAGTAGTTGAAATTAAACCGAGATATACCAAATAAATACAAATAGAACTTCTCATCCGCTTCTTTCCTTCATCTCACACATTTAAATTTATAATTATTTGTCAATATTCCTGACCAAGTGAACGAAAACATATTCCTCTCTTTTTCTGGGAAATTTCAAAGGGTTAGAGGTAGTGGAAGTTGCATAAATCTTGAAGCTACCACAAGTACATACATCACTCATCTGCTCAGCAAAATAAAAACGACAGTAATTTGAGTGAAAATGCTAAGATAGGAAAAACAACGAATAAATTCCAATTGCTCCAATCGATCAGGTTGGTAAATCTGAGAAGCTGGAGAGACTTAGGCATATTATTCTTAAAGTGCTTTGACAATCGATTTTAATCATTTCGTTAACAAAATATATTACGAAAAGTGACATAAAAATCATGCGTTCAAAATTTACATCAGCGACATATCCTTGTATGTAAGAGAAGTTTGCGGAAAAATTCGCGTTATCATTAAAATTATTAAAAGTGCTAGCTTTAATGCTACTGGACCATCCTCGTATGTTCGGTACAAACTTGGCTCATTCAAAAGATGAGTTAAAAAATGTACGCATCCTAAACATAATCCTTGATTAAAAACAAGCTGTCATGTGTAAGTGTATGAGTCAAAACAATAGCCAAAGAAGAGTTGTTATCTCTATTATTTAAAACTAATGCGATTTCAAATGTCACATGTTAATCGTTATTAATCGTGTCATCTTAATAAATAAAGATGATAGAAATGCTTCCAATTATCACTTTTGGTTCATATTCAAGAGAATAATGGAAATGCTTGACGAAATGTGTCAAAATATTTACGGAATGAGTTGGAGTGTCCAAGCAGTTATTATTCAAATGTTGTCTTTTTGAAATTAGCAGTTTTTAATGAGATTTCCCATCTTTTTCAAGATTAACATGGTCACTGTCATAATTTTCCTTTTATGTTTTACCATATGTATACTTTTGTTTTTATCTTACTGCTCCTTAATTTTCATCTTAATTTTCCCCCTCTGTTCAGTTCACTTATCATGAATCTAATATCTGTTTATCCTATTCTGATTATCATTGTCATTTTAACAAATGCTTCCTTTTATGACATCAATAACCCCAATTTTTGGACCGACACATTCACAGATTTTGTTTCTTTCAATTCCTTTTTCTCTATTTTCCACTTGTCAGCAAAGTAATTCGCCTGACACCTATATTTTGAAATTCACACCATCTTTGTTTCTCTTCCTTTATTCTCATTCTCTTAATGATAAAATCACGACACTCAACGACCTGCTGCCTTTTCCTTTTCGTATTCTTTCACTGAAAAAATTCTTTCAAAAAAGCTCCACACCTGTACAAAGCACAAAATTGTATGCGTTGGTTTTTGATTCAAATTTAAAATATTGATGAGACCTGTTGAATCAACCCTCGGACATAATCAGTCGTTCGGAGTAATTAGTAATTAGTAGAATGGAAATTAGCATCAAAGTCTTGAATGAATTAAAGAGAATTTTGATAGGAAAAGAGAGATGGCTACTTCTTTGACATAGAAAAATCCTGAATGAACGAGTAAAAGACTGAAATAAAATAGTTTATATTAGAACAGAATGATAACTGAATTGAAAAAAATGAAAAAGGGAACAGAATGAAATGTTCATGTGAGGGGAAAGTAGAATATTACGTTACACTAAGATCAATGAAAGTAACTGCAAACCTTGAAATGATTAAAATAAAATTGGCAGTGATGAATCACACCTCGAAAATCTTCCTTTCCCTTTTGCTCTAAACAATCAACTGCCAGCAATGAAAGTGCTAATAAAATTAAGGGTATTTTTGAAAAGAAAAAACCGAAGTATGACAGATTTTCCAGCGGTGTCTCAAAGACTTCTAGGAACTAGGTGATAGCAAAATCGATGATTTATGGAAATAAGAATGATTCTTGTATCTTTTGTTGATAAGTCTGATCTGAATCTGGTCTTGCTACTTGGTAAAAAATGACAGGTTGCTGAACTGTCAGCCTTCGCCCGACATAACCGGGAAATTTTGAATTAAGGTGGAAGCCACCCGCAAGGATTAATGATGGGGTATCAGTGAGGGCATTAATTAATTAAGTATTGACCAAGATAATTCCAAGGATGAGGAAATTATAAATATAAATTAGCGAAGACATGGCGAGAAAATACAAATAACAGAAGAGTTGTTTTACGACTTGTTTTTAACCCACAGTCCTTCCAAAAATATCTCTGACCCTGTTTACAAGATTCACATCAAGACCATGGAAAAGCAAATTTCATGGGCCCCTTTTTTCCTGAATATATTTGTGAGATGCTTATTGCTAACTAATTTCAAAAAAAGAAAATAACTCTCTTGTGAACTGCAAAAGCAGCTCAAGTATGATCACCGCAACATGCAACATAACAATACCGATATCCGGTATTAATTCGCAAAGTAAAATATCATAAGTTTATTTGCAGTTTCAGTGGGAACACAATGTTGTCATACATCAAAATTAAATTAAAAAAGTAAATTCCTCAAGTTCGGTGAGTAAAATCAAAACCGAAGACCTTAATTTTGATTATTATAGGCCTTGGTGATTGCCGAAAAATATCACCACTTTTCGGTCAGTAGAATAAGGTTAAAAAAAACGAGATATCTAAGAGTGCGAAAAATTTTCCGCTTTTATCCTTTTTCTATTTTCTCACATTTTTTGAACAGATTTGTCCAGATTCCTTTTCTAGATTTAATTCCGGAAACTCCCTATTAAAGAGATCTATCCACATTTCTTTCTTGGATAATGCTTAACCTTGACAGAAAGTCTTAAGTAATTTAGAGTAACAGTAAACAAAAAATTGGAAGAATCAAAATTCACTTATTGATGACGCGAGTGCTGTCGTGAAGCGATGGTTTGCAGTTGGTATTCAACTTCTGAGAATTATTCTGCTTGGAATCGGTACAATCTATGCTAGAAATATTAGAATTGGACCATAATCGGATCTCATTCTCCAGCCTGTTAAATTTACGCTCACGTAACGATGCGTCAATAAGACAATGGAAGCAGTTCAAACCAGTCTGCAACGAGTTGGGATATCTCACATTAGCAGGTAGTGAGAGAATGCTGATGTCCTTAGAATCACGTGCACGTTGTAAAACTTGCATCCTCTGACGTTCATCCAGGTCAAAGGACAATGATGAACCTAACGGCCTTTTCGTCATCCTTTTGTGCATTTTTTCGAAGTGTCTTGTAAAAAATGAAACTAGCAGATGGGGTCGCACGTCATGTTTAATCCTTGAATTTGTATTGGTACTGTAGTTATGTGAACTAGTATTATTGTTGTTGGGAGAGATACCTGACAGATCAATTGCTTCGGTGCGAATTAGCAGCGGTTTCTTTTCTGTTCTCAATGGCGGCAAATTATTAGTATTGTCGGTGGAGTAGTAAGTCCGAGAAAGACTCGTTTTGGAGGATGAATCTGTTAAGGATTTTGATTTCTCGATAACCTGCAAACTGTTTGTCGGGGAACGGTCTGTGGCTGAGTGACTATCAACTTCTCTTCCTTCAGCTTCAAAAGTTCCTCCTGAAGGTCTTCTGGAAATGTGACCCGAAATGACGTAAGATGTAGGGTATCGATGTTCTTCCATTTTCGATCACGCTGTTCCCGATATGTCTGACCACACTGCACAGGTTTAATAAATGTAAAGAGGATGCCAGGAATCCGTCTTCATCAAGAATGCATTCACTGCACACATATCAAAGCTATAATACCCAGTTAGACAATACCGATAAAAGGTCATTTTCCAATGAAATAGTTTTGCCATCGCAATCAGATGGAAAAAATAAGGAAAACGCTGTTGACGATGGAGTTCCCTTTTGTTCGAAATCACTGAGATGGTATGAGTGATGTTCTAACAGGAATGATAGCAACTGTTAAGAACATGACGAAAGACTACCACCGGGATGAAGCTTAGGTATCGCAACTGCACTGCACGATCTGCCTGTCGAATGTATAGCTATTCTTAGAGGAAGCGAAAACGGATCAAAGGCGGGGATAGTACTGAGCAGGACAGTCCGGGTGGTATACCGGGTAGGCGTAAAGGTGTTGGAGCGTTGCTGACGAGCAATACCAACGATGAGATGGCATAGCGTGGTGTAGCGCAGCGATAGAATAACATAGGATTGGAATAGTGCAGATTAGAACAGGATAGAAGAAGCTGTTGTATGAAAAGACACAACCAAGGATGGATGTGAGTGGTATTGAGCAGTGAAGGAGACGAAGGAGAGTTAGGTGATAGTGATGGGTGGCGTAGGCGACAGAGAAGAGCGAAATGGAATGTGAACTGGTTGACAACTCTACTCTCTTCGTCTTACCCTCTCTCTTGTCCTTCCTAATCATACCATTTCGTTTCGATGCTTACCTGCATATTCAACGCAATTTTGTATTTGCTGAATTACACTCTCTATGTATTTAATGAGATAATTTCATTTTGATTATTTATCAAATACATTTACATACTTGTTACTGATATGCTCCGTTATCTAGCGGTGATCCTCCACACCTCAATATAATTAACGGCATAATATCGTATTGGCAAGAGCAGTAAAAAGCAAAAACATAGTGGTAATATTTGCTACGTACGGCTGAGAACGTAAATGAAAGGGAAATATATGTGCTAAATTAATTTATATAAAGGATTTGTTTGAAGCACTTAATGCAGAAGTACATCTGTGGGGAATTGTGAACCATTAATTCAAGCCAACAGTAATTTCGTCTTTCATTTCATGGAAGTTTAAAAATTTATATCCTTGACATTTTGTTGTCCATTATCGTCCTTTTACCTTGACTAAGTACCATTTTTAACACTGTTACTTAAATTTATAAAGCAATCAAATGCAAATGGAAATTTAAAACTTTAAATTGATTTTTAACATTTGATGCAGTTTCTTTCCTTTCTTCCCGAAAGATATCCTAAAACATATTTGGGACATGGAAAAGACTGGTCGCAAACCGGAAGAAAACTTCAATTTCATTCTTCTTTCTCTTTATGTACTGCCCATTCATTCATTTTACGGAATGAGAAATGGAGTGTCGCATCAGTGAATTTCTCTCGGAATACACGAAATAAAAAAATTGAGGAATGAGTGATTTCTTCTAAATGATAGTGTTCATCCGGTCATTGCGATCATTGGTAGTTAGAATGAATTCAAAAATAATTTCCACCTATTTTCGTAATTACTTGTAGTGTTACAAAGCAATCCAAACTTTTAAGTAAATTTGCATTTCATTAATGGTACATGATTATGTAAAGTTGCGATGGAATCTTAGATTTGTCCGGAAATGTGTTACCACTTCCTGTTTAACTAGGATCGGTCTCTTTGAAATGCTTATTATTTTCATTTAATTTTGGTGTTTTGGGTAAGCTTTCAAGCAGGTAGATGATTGTTGCCTTGTAATGTGAAGAGCGAATAAGAAAAGGAATAGAAAATGGTGTTAAATGAAGAGTTAAAGACGGGAATAAAATGTTATTTCGCTTTTTGATGGAATAAGTGATATCTTCTGCTATGAATCGAAATAAAGACTTCATAAAGGTAAGGATCGGTTAATCATTGAGGAGTTAATCATCTCTAACTATAAGGCATTGCATAGAAGATTGTTATCAGTCGGTATGCTTTGAGAAATCCCCGAAAAAGTAAACTTCTGAACAGTTATTATTTTCTTGATTACTACTGTTTATTCCTCCCAGGCTAATTTGATGGACTGATATTATTTTAAATCATAAGATTATACATATTTAAGAGGATTGTCGTTTTATAAAATATTGTGAATAAATAACTTCTAACAGTGGTATAACTAATCACTTTATCTCTGCTAAACTTGATCTGATACAGTTGCATTCACTCTTGTATATATTTATATAACCGAAATTTTTTATATAACCGAAATTTTTCCTTTTTTGATGGAAAATATGAAACTGAAGAAAAAAGAGTGAAATTTAAAAACACCTCCAATGTTCCGACAACCCGGGAAATATTTCCTTCAGCTGTGAACTTCGAAGTTCCAGATTTGAAATGGATATTCGCGGGTGATAATTGAATAATTTTTCATCCAAACTTTCATCACTGGATTGGTTCCCACTCAGTGCTGCAATACAATTTTTGAGTTATTTTTGTCACCAATTATTTTGAGTGAAATGATTGGAAATTAGGAAACACCGAAATTTTTAATCCCTTCCTAATCCCTAAATATGATTTCGAAAGATGCATGTTTCGGCATACAATCATCGCTGATACAACTGATGAATGAATCGGTGGAATAGCTGTTGCTCCTTGAGCTAGATGATTTGGATGATGCTTCGATCATTTTTTCCGATGGTGTACCATCACTTGAAAGGCCAAGTTTCATCAAGCTTGCATGAATACTATGCCAAGTTGCTACTGCACTGATTAGTTGGTTGGAAGTCGTACTCAACCCCTGCAACAGTCAGTTTCTGAACAATCCTAATTTCAACTCTTCACAAATCGTTTTCCTATAAATGCGATTTCCAGCATTATTGGTACTTGAAGTACTTAAAGGATTAACTTCTTGTGGTACTTGAAGGATCGGGTTTGCCTGGTTGCAAACATTTCAGTTTGATGCTAATAATGATGTCAGAGATGAGAAGGACTTGCATAATATTTGATCGTTTTAGAAGATCTGGGATACGTATTTGACTTATCGTATCACAATTGTCGTTACCTGTTTACTGAGAATATCGGTTTTACCAGTTATTTTTGGTATTATTTTCCACTTTTTTTTCTCTACTCCATCAGAGTTAAAATTGAATCAAACAAAAGCATTTCATCGCAAAAAAATTTAATAAGTTTTTAATTTTTGTTCAAAAAGTCAAAATTTAAAAAGACTGATTTTAATGGAACAATATAACTTAGAGAATGTGAAAGTGACATGGAGACATCACGAGCATGTATTCCGTTGCCAATAATGCATATGAAGTGCGTATTCGCTGGAGTTAATCATGCGTTGAATGAGAAAACCGCTTTTTGCAATCAAGAAAAAGGAAAAAAATAAGTGATTTGACTGGAAAGTAAACTCACCAAATCAGAACAATTTCTTTCAGCGGTATTTTCCTGGAAATCCATTGGAGGCACTGCAAATTTCAAAATATTTCGAGATTTAAATTTTGAGTTGGCATAAGGTAAAACTTTGGACTGATTGTTTATTGCAAGATTTAGTGTAATAAATGCATACCTTTTCTATACCATTTCCTTCGAGTTGGTACGCTCAGTGACAGTGCTCCGTGTCGCAAGAAATATTCACGTTTTTTCTGTGCATTTGACGTCATTTGGTTAAGTTATCGAAAGAGAAAGACTATCGTTTATTGTTGCCGCATTTTTTGCTGCGTTGATGCCTTGACAGTTATCAGAATGTTAACTGAAATTTCAATTCCAGTGACACAGCCATAAGTGGCAGGTCATTCTGTCATACCAAAAAAAAAAGTGGAAAAGAATAAAAAAATATAGCTTAACCAAATATAGTTTGACCATTTGAAAAATGCTAATAATAGTAAATGCTAATAATAATAATGATAGAGAAAAACAAAACTTGTAAACATTAAAAAGAAAATAGAATCATAATGTGATGAAGAAAAAAACCGTTTTGTAATATTACTTTTCACGTTGAAAAAATTTTTTTCGGAACGAAATGTTTCTAGACGGGTATGCGAATGAACAGAAATTTTTAGAAATAATTAAGTTTAGTTTGTCATTTATTATAAATAAATTTATTATAAATATTTTTCAGCCATTAATTAATTTTAACACAAATTCAAATAACTTGGCTTATTTCTCTGAGAGTTAAGCTATATCTGTTGTCGATGCGTTCTCCGAAGAGATTTTTTATTGTTTAATACACCGAAAGATGTAAAACAAAAACAAAAGAATCTTGTGTATTTAGATTTGCTATAAAATGTTTCTTAAATTTCTTTCATATTTATAAATGGAAGCGACTTCGATCACGGATTGCTTTATCAACGCATTAATAAAATGCAGATTACTAGCTGTGACAGAGTTTCAAAATTATTTTGCTACATTTCTTTAGATAGATCTCACTACTATATTGTCTGAAAAAAAAACAAACCTGAAAGTGGAGATAAAAAAGCAAAGAATGCTGGAAAATTAAATTATAAAAATATCCTATGAACTAATAAAAGGCTTAGTTTTGGATCAGCCTAATATCTGCCTAATGCAAACAGAGCTTTCTTTACAAGAGGTCCTATTGAACAATAACATTAATGGATATCACGTTGGCGCCATCTATTGATAATAGGTCATATTGTTAATCATGATCAGATTTATGTAATTCAATATAATTCTTGTTAAAAGTAATATTTTACTTTTCTAGAACCTTTTTGGAATTACGTGAATTTGCTTCTTACTATTCTTAATGGTTTAAATGCGCCAAAATGGATAGCATAAGTTGATCTGAAAATTACAAAATGGCTTAATAAGAAAATCATAGCAGTCTTTTTCAGCTTTTCCCTTCAGCCTAATCCATCATTATTTCGGATACAAAGTGTTGATAACTATTGAAAAGAGTGCATCTAATTGAGATAAACAAAAAGCGTTAATAATTACTGCAAAGAACCGTAAATTGAAATTGAATAATCTCCACTGATTACATTTTCTATCTGTCGTTTCAATCGTTAACTGAAACTTTTGAGTAGCAAATATAACTATTGAGAAATTGGAAAAAGAGGTGGAAAAGGTCCTGCTAATATTTGTCAAGATAAATTGTGACTGTATTGAAATAAAATGAGAAGTTCCTTTGATGGAGAAATTGGGATGGACAAGTACTGTGAAAAACTATGAGAAGAAACGAAGTGAGTGCTTAATAACATGCCTATATTCAGAATATGAGAAATTGCCTATATTCATTCATTATCTATTGCTTGTAAGACTTCGTAACGTCCAGCGAAGGGATGCGATTTGAATTTGAGGAGTAGGCTGATCACTCCGACCGTTCCAAAGTTTTGAACCTTTCCAGCAGTCAAATTCCTTCCTAATCTGCTTAATATAGAAACTTTACTGGTGCTTTCACCGATTACTATCATCATGCTATCCGAGATATATTAGCTGCGAAGATTGTTTTTGGTGAAACAACGGAGAGTTCCTTTTTTCCTTTCAACAAGAGTAAAATTCACCAAATCGGCCAGTGATTGTTTTTTAGCTTTACTAAACAAAAGGAAGCATATTATTCACAATTGTTCTGGCTTGCTGATGCAGAATTCCAGGACCTCAGAATTCCAGAGTCCGTTATTTCAATCGCTGGCAGTGAATAGTAACATCGTAATATATTGACTTCCAATAGGACAAAATTTTAAGCGATAAAATCTCAAGCAATCTTGAAAAGACCGTCATTTTGCTAGAAATTTTTGAATGCTCAAACTTATGTAAGTTAGTCTAATCAATAAACTCCTAGAGAATTAGTTTCATTAGTGTATTCAGATAAACTTAGTAGTAAATTTGACTAGTCGATTATGAAATTTAGCAGCAACTACGTGGAATTGCTGGGTCATGTATAACAATATTTTCTCCACCACCAGCTTTGTCCATCCTTTGCGATATATTTTAAGTTGTCAGATAAAATTCTCAGCATTGAGGGCAACGTATCACGATCAATAAAATGAAATCACACCTGTTGTATTCTACAAATTTTCAGACTTTAAAGCATTCCATGGACAAGAGTAGAACAAGTTTTAGAAAAATATCGAATTATTTTCCAATACAAACTAAACTTACGATATCTGTAATACTTGATAATCATAGTTTATTGTGATATTAGTCGACTGTTATTCTATGAACTTACAAGTTTAGAAGTTGGAATAGTATGAAAATAGGTAACACAAATGAAAGGATTGAAAAATAAGGCTACATAAATAATGTTTGTGGGAATTTCTTTGAAAAATTGATTGAAAACACTTCAGCAAAAGGTCATGAGAAGTTTTTGCTTTTTTCACTTATACTTTACAACAACGAGACAAGTTTCGGACAAATTTCTGGAATCTCTCTTGTTAACTCGTTTGATTGAAACAGATAAACATCTTTCTAATCCTTTGACTGAACTGACTTTGTGAGAAGATGAAACTTCTGCGACTTATAATCAGTAGGTAATACAACACAGAATTCTGGGATGAATGAAATTTCAAGTGATTAATAAATAATTATGAATTCCATACGAAGGTTGGTAGCAATTTTTCATCACAATCACATGAACAAATAATAATAGTGCTATTATGATAAAAGACTCCTTTGGAAACAGTTTTTCTTATCAAACTCTTTTGGGTATACTAGCAGATTATTTGTTATACTTCTTTACACCGTCATCTATGTAAATGCCTTTCCCATATGGATTACTAACCTACCAGAGGAATATTGTCAACTGCTCCTTTTATGTCACATCTAAATGTTTTAAAGACAAAACTTGCTTAAGTAATGATTTCTCCAGAATGATCATTTGATCAACCACTTATTGCCTGAATTTCATTTTCTTGGATCATGCAAAAGTGAATGACTGTATGGATTGAAAAATTTTGTTAGCAAAAATTGTTCTATTTTTCGAAAAAAAAAATTCAAATCCAAAACTTTTTTGTCCGATATTTAGCAAGTATGAATTGGAAATGTTTGAGAGTGAGCCCATCTGGGACGGAGCAAAGGATCTTCGGAAAGATTATGTAATGAAAAGAAAGTAGATGAGGACATTCATACTGAAAGTTGTAAAATCGAAGTAGACAGAAAATCCAAAATGCATTACGCCATTTAGGCCCTTGCAGATTGTGTGCCATACATTTGCCTGCTTCACTTCACTAATTAGTGAAAAGTTACTTCTGTTGACAAAAACGCCATTGGAACCTTTTCTTCGAAGAGGCTTTTACAGTACAATTATTTAGTGTGGTACCAATCAACAAGTCACTACATCGGTACAAATGACGTCTCAGATAACGGTTCTGTATACAGCTCTATCCTCAGAGTTTCTTCGAACAGTGAATGTTGCAAGTTATTGGGACACTAAATTCACTTTAGTTTAATCTCTTGTATCCAGCCGAAAAACGTGTTTATAATATTTGCATCTTTCGAAAAAGACAGAAAAATGTCGGTTTTTTATATTAATTGAATCCGAATTAGATTTTGAAAATTTCTTGGACAAAAAAGGAATATAAGTTTTGTATGTTATGGACTCGATTTCCTGCACAATTTTCGATTATAAATTGTAATAATTCGTGGGGAAATTCATTAATTTGGAATGGTTAAGGTCCAATCCACCTGAAAAATAAACATTATATTTCGTTGTTAGAATGAACTTTTTTCATCTCAACCAATTTAGTAACTTTATAAGCATGATAATTGCTGAGCTTCAGTCTCTTCATTCCATCTAGCACTAACTAGCATAATATAATTGGGAATGACAGAACGCACTCGTCATGTTACTTCCTGGTAAGTTGGAGAATAAAAAAAACAACATCGAAGAATTAATTTGAAATGACAAAATTTCAACTTTGGTCATTGAAGAATTGATTAGAGATGACAAAGCTTCAATTTTTGTACTGTGGGAAGCAGAAGTAGCTACCTTCGGGAAATTTTATTTTTTCGAATCAAGAAGGCTTCTGTTTTTAAAGCCCATAAACGAGCTGAAATCCTTCATGATGATTTGCTAAGGACATAACTTTTATTGATTTCGGGATGTTATTTAGTGAAAACCAGTCGATGTTTGCAGATTTCGTACTCTAACTGTTCAAGAAAGCGATTTTTATGACTTTCGGATACAAAATTTTAAAACTTTTGCCTCCATTATGAAACAACACCAGAATTGAAATCCAAAAACACCCGTTGTTCATTATGATTCTATGAGTGAATTGTTAAGGACATGACTCATAAAACACGTCCTGAAACAAATTTCGGAAAGATACTTTTGCAAATAATGGATCCACCAGAAGTAAAAACTAATCTGTTCAAGGTCGACCAAAGCCTCCCCCTAAAACTTGTCTTGTAATTGATTGCAACGTAAACATGCTGTCCTTAAAATACAATTTCATTTCACAAAACCTTTTAGCTTCTCTAAAATATACATTTAAGCATAATTTTCCGCAATGATAACAAATTACATAATTTTGGAAGTGAGGCAACCATAATGAAACAAAAGCAAAAACCCATTCCATAAAATCTGCTACATTTCCATAGATCATTCCACAAAACCTTTTAGCTGTCTCTAAAATACCCACCATTTCTTATCCTCTTGTCTTCTCTCTTTAAAAGTAATTTGCAAGACAGGAATATATGAGTTTCTTTACGCATTACCCACCCATGACCTTCTGTTTGCACTAAAGAATATAATCCATTCAACCATCGCCACAAGCTGTTTTGAAAACGACCACAATCAATTCACATCGGATGCTACAGTTCAAAAGGAATGACTAACATTGTTATGACACCGAATATTAAATTCTGATCAGTGACTTGAATTCTGAAAAGAAATATGCAATTTCTGCCTATGTCATTTCAAGAGATGAAGATATGAGTTAATTCAGAAAGTAGCAGTAATAGTCCAGTCTATATTATAGGAACAGACAGCTCAACAAGTTCTTATCTGTTACATATGATACAATGAAGGTGTACAGTTATCCATAAAGTGATTTTAACTTTCAAAAAATGTGGAATTAAAGAAAAAGCATATACTTATTCTTCACTGAAAAGAATACATGACACTGATTGCATTTTAGACAGCCGTAACGAAAAAAAACAGTTATGAAGTATCTGAAGTTCTATACATTATTTTATATGCAATATATTATTAAGATATTAGTGCATAATTCATTTGTTTGTGCCAATAAGGAAAGGTCAAAAACCAAGCTTCATAGGGCTACATTATCAGAGCAGATACTCAGCAAGCAATATGGTTCAAAGATGTTACTTTAATCGAACAGACGATATTGAACAGCCCAATATGACTAAAAAAAGTTGTGTCTGCTAAAACAGCTATCAGGAAATATCCGTGAAAAAATGAGAATAAGCATAAACGGTTCGAACCACATATATCTACAAGAACTTATCTTTCACTCAGAATTACATACTTATGGTTCTGTGATATAAATAATAGTAAAGTTGAACTACCATTACAGTGACCGGAAAAGCAGATGCTGGTGATAAAGATAAAGGTGGAAAACTGAAAACAACATAGTAGAAGAAACAATTAGTCAGTTAATTATCAACTGATCAAGCGTTTGCCCAAGCTTCTAACTCGGCCAAGTCATCATCCTCTTGCTGCTTTTTGGCAGCAGTCTTCTTTCCGGAGACTGGAAGTTCAGCAATCGGGGCTTCAGGTAAGGCTGATACAGATGCTGGTGTCGGTCCAACATCTAGAAGCTGCTTATCAAGCTCTTCCTGTAAGCAATTTATGACTAATCAGAAATTATCGATAGCCACATAAAATGCCCATTACGAATAATGTAAATCCACTTAGATGGAAATATTGAAAACGCATAATTAATGAGAATATACAAACAAAGAAAGAAATTCAAGACAACCTGCTCCAGTTCTTCCAGTTCTTTGAGCAATTCTTCTTCATCCAGATCTTGACCAAAACCAACTGGATTACTAATTGCTTCAGCAATTTCATTAGCAACCTCTTGCTGTTCGGCAATATCCTCCATTAAGTCGTGTACCTGTTAACAAATTTTACTTTTGTACAACCATTAAGATCTTTCTTTTTCATACATCATGCTTGCTATTGTTGGAACCTTACACTTCAATATGTCTGTGAATCTGAGACAAAGAATCAAGAGTGATAATAACAATCACGCCATAATACCTAAATCCTTCTAGTACCTCACATGACATAATCTATTACTATTTCATTTATGAATCTGAAAACAAGCAAAGAAACTTTCCCACTGATGAGAAACCACTTACAGAAAGAATATAGTAACGGAAGCACTTGCCTGATCTACATCCATATCGTTATGTGCAGTTTTAAGGGCCTTTGCAGCAGAACCCATTACTTGTAACACTTCGGCATTTGTTGACGCATTTTCTAAAGCTTCGCGTTGGAACTCGATCGTTGATAAGACACCATCAATGTGCTGCAACTGCTTCTCAAACTGTTTCTTCCGTTTCAGTGCGTGCAAAGCCAATCTCTTGTTTTTCGTTCCATGTTTTCTTGCCGATGCAACTTCCTAAAATAGTTCCGCATAACGGTAGCAATGCTTCGTTATAGTTTAATGAGTATCGCATATCCATCAGTTTTCCTTTGAATAGCATGCTGACGATTTCTTAAGAAAAAAAACAAACGCTAACTTCCAAGTAAAGTCGGAAAACTTACAGCTTCTATTTTTTTCTCTAAGAACTCTTGCTTCTTCACTAGCATTTCCTCGGTTTCCCGCAATTTTTGTATAGATTCCTGTGGGGTTGCTGATGGTGTCTGCTGTTTTCTACTGCCACCAAATATCTTCCCAAATACACTCATTGCTGGAAAAATTAACTATTCCACGGCATGTAACAGGGGATCGGTCAAATGGATCACGCCAGTAACAATATAAATTATTTATTAATCCAAATATCAATGTCGTAGCATTAACTTCAAATTAACTTTTGGTATTTTTACAGAGATATTCCATACGCATTAATTTACATTTATTTAAGCATTAATTTACAATTGCGTAAACATCTTGATGTCATTTCCCATAAACTTCACATAAAACAAAACAATCATGAAAAATAACAAATACTTTTGACATCACCCGGTCCAACTACCGAATGATTAATTAAATATGTCACCTTGTTGTTTTGCAAAAGAAGCGTAGGCACCCGTGAATAAGTCATGCACTTCTAACAATAACATAATCTTCGTTATTGCTTGCTTAGCGAGCAACCAAAAATTTAATTATACATAACAATTCAAGCATTAAGCCTAAGTTCTAGTTCAAGTACAAGGCTAAACATGCGTCTAACTGTGCTACCCATAATGAAAATCTCTTTATAAAGCAGTAGCACCTCATTTTACCCAAACTTGTCAACCGCCCTGCTAAAACCTACTTCTACCAAATTCACCCACACTGTAATTCGAAGATTGACGAACACAGTCGAGGAGAAAAGCTCCTCTCTAATCGAAGAATCAACTCAGCAAGAAGACACCGCGAAATATCCATCGGTTTGTCACAAACGGGCTCAGACCAGCGTATAGAGGATGACAAGGGATTGACATGTACAGCTAAAAAGTATATGAAACATTTCCCTAGTTTAAATTAATTTTAAGGTTCCGACATTTTGCAGTTCGTCTGTTCTTAATTGAATTTGGTAAATTTTCACACTTTCACAAAGAACAGAAATTTCGTTTTTGTGTAAACAGTGCATTATTTTGCCGGTTAACTTAAGAGTATTTCAAGCATCGTTCATTCTCATATTTCAGAATTTTCTCATTTATAAGCAGTAACTTCGCAGTGGTAATGGAACTGAAGATAACTGATCTCTGATTAAATAAACAGTATGGATACTGGTCACCGACTAACCTGTACCATTTATAAAGCAACAAAGAGGCAAAGGAGGATGGGCGTTAACCTCTAATCTCTCCTGGCCGTCTAATCATTGCATGATTGTACTTGTTAAGCTTTACTGATTCAAATGGATTCATAGCAATTTATACGGAAGTCTGTTTGGTTGATTGATAAAAGCAGTTCTATGAAGAAATTAACATGTCCAAAACCTGAAATGAGAAAGAAATGAGGAAGAGATGAATCCCCGACCTCTATGCAACGCCGTCATGCCGATCAAGTTCTGGTCTGTGCCACACTTGGGCGGTAACGTTATGATACATAGACTTGAGGCGTTGATTTTCAGGGAGGATTTTATTAGAGAGTGGTGTTGACTCATATATCTGGGTTAATTTTCACTTGGGAATAATCAGGATCGTCCTGTTCTATCCCAGGAACAACCCAATTACAATCCAAACCCTGTTCTCCTTTAGATCTCTCTTTACATCAAGTATCAAGCTATCTATGTCAGTCGGGAAAATGTTAGCTGAAATAATTGAAATTTACAAATTTCAGTTAGAAGAACGATGGTTGCCTTATGAACAATACGATATAATGCAACACATTTGAGAAAGAATGATGGAAGAGAGTGAAGTAAAGATAAAACTTATGACTGAACTGGCAAATGTACTCAAACAGGCAACATTTGAGTATCCGTCCGGCGATGCACTCTCTAAGTAATATTTACTTCTTGATCCATCCACATCCCCTCCCATGCTGATGTGAAGCTGTGATTTTACCTGCGAACTATTTGAACTCTCCGTTGCATTCTTTCGTGTATTCGAAACAGTTTTGGTTTTTAGGGAGTCTACTCAAATACTTTGTAATACGGTTGAAGCACTGTTCATTCATGGCTTGAAGACAGCCTTCTTCCAGAAAAAACCAAGAAGCTCAAGGTATCCTGAACCGGTGAGTTTTTGCCAATATGCTAAACATATTTCCATCTTTTGTTTATAGGAGCTGTTTAATTGTGGTGTTTTCAGAATTTCTGGCCCTTTGTAAGCAAATATACACATAAAGCAGTATTGGACCAGATAGCTACATCGAATCAAATAAAGACAGAAATAGGGAAGTCACGGGTGAATTACGTTTTTTTTTTCCTCTTAGTGTTTAGCTAGAAGGAGTTGTTCTTGATTGCTATATATTTTGAGCTTGCATCGTATACTGTGGTGCGAATATATATGTAAATTTTATATATTTTTTACAGGCGTGGGTCAGGATACTTTTAAATGAAAATACAATGGAAAATTATTTGAGCTTACTGTCGCATAATAATGTTACTTTAAGGTTAGTTGGTGAACAGTGAATTAAGACAGAATTAATTCCTAGGACGAAAGATGAAATTTTTTGAATGTGATTCAAGGTTTCTTTACATTCTTTAAGCAACAATTTTTTTTCAGTATAATTTGAATTTTTCAGCAAATTTTACGAGAAATGGGCATTTCTGAGAGATACTGAACGTATGAATATACTGTCAGGTTACACGAAGGGACTGACGAGACTGACTGTCGAGGCACCTGTGAATAGTTTCTCTCTTAACACTTGGACTCCCACGCCACTGATACTTTCTGGTTTGATAGCGGGAGAACCCGCAAGATGTGAGTTAAATTCCTGATTTAATAATTTATCTTTTGGTCCGTATTTTAATTGATTTTGGTCCAGTTACTCATATTTAGACAAATTTTGGACTGTCTAGTGGACGTCTCCCAGTATTTTTAGTGCTTATGGCATGCATTAATATAACTTCTCATTTTAGTGAAACAGTTAGTAAAGTGTCGTTGTCGTGGTGGTTCGCTGAACATGCTTGAGGATACAGAGCTTGCCGAAAATGCATTGCAGTCCCTGTGCGGCTCAACAGAAATATCTACTTCTTCGTGCGCAGTAGATTCTGATAGTTTGTGTTCAACAAATAGTTTTCTCAGTTTTTTTCTTGAATATTTTCTTTCTCTCTCCTTCTTTTTAATTCATTCTTACTGTTATTGTTTTTTAAACAGCTGGACGAGAAGCTGATGTGGCTTCCGTTTATTCGCATCCGTCAATGCTTGATGGAGAGAACATTCACCTCCCAGCTCTAAATTCAGCAAGTAGTACTATACTTTCATATCCAGTCCCGGAAGACACTATCGTAAGTTACGTCCCAAGTTTGATTAGTTATAAGATTTGATTAATTTTCTGGTGGTTCGTTTCATCTAAATAATATCTGTAGGTTGCAATCTTTACGTTTCGTAAAAAATGGTCTTTCTTTATTCCAGATACGAGTAACTAGAGGTATCTGTCGTCGTGTTAGGCATTCATCGAAGAGTAGCACTGTTGGCGGTTCATCGAGTTCCAGAAATGAGTCCATATCAGCTGTAGTCAGAGAGTCACATGATGTGGGTTTCGTGAATTGTTGCAAGATCAGATTAAAATATCCTATCGTCAAAATGATTTATTTGTTAATTAACTGAGAAAAAAATCCTGAAAGGAATTGAAACTACTGGAGATTTTTCTTTTGAGGTTGAAGAAGTTGGGAAAAAAATGGAAAATCTCGTAGAACCTTATAACGATGTACAACGAATTTCATCCCCAATCTGTACGCTAAGTAACGAAAACAGAGCAAACCACGATCAGTGGAACGGAGCTTAGTAACACTTTATTTTGATTAGAATGCTTTCATTTGTTATCTAATCATTTTTCTACATTAAACATCTTATAGTGAGGAAAAAACGATGAACATTAAAGAGTATAAATCGTTTGGATCAGACAACGAGTTGTCAATCAAGAGTGAGATCGCATTTCACAAAGTGTCAGAAAGTTCACAAAGTAACTCCAAAAATTGGATCGGTCCACGTGTCACATCTGGTGGTTTTTTTAAATCATTGTTTTCATGATTAGTGAATTGCGGTACATACGGCAATTAGTTTAATAGATCAACCTAGGCATCCTTCACAGTATAGAGTAACAGCAAAAACGCAATAACATATATCGTAATAACGTATCTCAAAAGCATAATAACATTAGCATCTTGAAATAAGTTGAGGTAATAGTTCATTTTCGGTTTATTTAATTGAATATTATTACGAACGGATGAATGTAGGGAATTTTCATGCTAATAAGCGTTGAGCAGTTTGACAATTATCACCATGTCATTACCTGATCTGCTCTCGAATATCTCTGATGATTGATAATTCTGCACAATTTTTACATTCGACTTTTTTGCTTTTTTTTCAAGTCGGAAAGCATTATTTATGTTACTTTCATTTCAGATGCAGCTTATAATATCAAACCGGAACATTCTGTGCAAGATGTGCAGGATAAGTCATATAACCTTCTATATGGTCTTAGTCCGGTGATCTCAGTTGAAAATGAGCAGTCTTTCACTGAATTAGGAAACAAAATCAGAAGCACATCGAAAAAATCTTCAGACATGGAGCTGGTTGTTCTAGTCATCACTTATTTTAGGTCTTTCTTTGTATGTCCATCCTTGGCTTTTTTTACTTCAGAGATATAAAATTATGTTCTAGGAACGCTCAGTGTCCATGCAAGATGATCTGTATATGTCAGAGCATTACAATGAAGGGAATAGCCTTCTCGGTAAAGGCTGGATTGTTCATCATCGTTGGGAAACTGAACCTTTTGTTAGTTGTTTAACAGATCTACATTCGTTTTTCATAATGCTTTAAAGATGTAGTTTGGACAGCAATGTCACTTTTAATTTTCATGTTGAAGGATGGCCGAACTTCGACAGTTTCTTTATCGACTAATACAGATTCTTCTCGGAATTTCGACGTGGAAATACGAAATGTTCTTGATGGAACTTCGAATGAGGTGATTCAGAACTAGTTAGAACCTTAATTTTAGAGCCTTTAAATTAACTGTTATTCATCGTCTGCCTGGCAATATTGATTTAGTTTGCATTCTACTTATGTGATTTGATCTTGCGTTTGACATCTTCCTTATGGACATGTAAAGGAATTCTCTTATGTAGATGTCTTCATAAAAGACTACGATTTTTTTACTTTTGTTTACTTCTGTGATGTTTGTATATGATCCATTATTGTTGCAGGTGTTGAATCAGAAACACTCGGATAATGATAGTCTTAATAATGAAATTCCGATATTTGAGGAAGTAGGAAATTTATTGCAACACGCTAGTGATGGTGACAAGACGTCATTTACCATATCAGACCATCGAGAAGCTGTACCTGTCAAGAGACTAGAATCAGAAGTCCGTTTCTAGGTTATTGTTCTTGATTTCTGTTCAGTTCAATCAAATTATTTATTCGGTAATACCTGACTTTTTAAACTAATTTAGATTGATTCGAATGGGAGTGTTTTTCAGTTTTCTGACAAAAAATTAATTAGTATTTTGACAATGATTCCCCACGAGAAAGGCCTTGATTCTCAAGATTTTCGTTGTCTTTTATGCAGAAAATCAATTGGTCCAACATTCGCTTCATACAGGTTGCATCATTTTCTGATTTTTATATGTTCAGTGCTCATAGGCATTTTGATGACCTTTGTTATGCCTATAATGTCTTCTTTGTGGTTCATTGCATACGATTAGAATTAGCTATGTCTGAACTGTGCCATTCATCACTGTGTCTTGAAATGTAACAACCATGCACTAGATGTTAATTTCCTTTTATATGGATTGTCTTAGTTTTGGGTGTATTTGTCAAAAGTAAAATTATTTCAGTAAGTGTGGCTTCGATGAAAAATATTACTGCGATGGATGTTTTAGTAGAGGTGATGAAAGTGTTATTCCATCGCGGTTGATTCATAACTGGGATGGACATCCAAGACATGTTTGCAAGAGTAACATGGCTTTCATTGAAAGCATTAGAGATAAAGCTGTCCTTCATCTCGACCAGATCAATCCCCAACTTTATGCACACTCCCATGCTTTAAATGCCGTGAAGGTGCTTGCTTGTTACTCTTTATGTGTAGATGATATTATTTCTAATCTTTCAAGCTAACAGGTATTCTTTAATAGAAGGCAAGTTCATAGTTCTGGAATAATTAAACCGTTTTCCTCTATAAAAAAGTATTGGTCATCCCTTTTTCGAGGCTCATGTGATAACATAACTACTGACTATAATGTGGTCGCTTGGTCGCTTTTCACATCGCAGCCAGTAGTTATGCTACACCAATTGACTGGACAATTGGTAACTTTGATAATATAGAAAATGATTAATTTATTTGCATTCGTAGTGGAATTTTTTTCTAGTTCCTGAGGGAGAAATTGTCGTTGTCAGTAATGTACCTGCAGTCATGTCGGAAGTCAGTTGCTGAAGATTTGGAAAGTCGCGTTTGGCCAAAAAATTATCTTTACAAAGATATTCACCTGTATTCATTTACAGTACGTTTTTCTCGCGAAGAAAATGATTAATGGAGAAACGTTTTTCGATTTTAGAAGCTTAGTTTTGTAGGTCTTTCTGATAAGTGAAGCTCAAATTCTTAGCAGTTATTGTAGAATATGATGGGCAAAATTTATATTACATTTCGTAAGTCACTGCATCATCTCCATTCTTCAGATACTAGAGTTACTTTTTTTCATATCCACAAATTCAGAATGGGACTGTAAACATAGGGATCACCTCATTGAAAAATGGAACTCCACAACTCAATACATCAAATGTTTATTAGAAGTTCTATTCCTATATTAAAGATTGTATCGAAGTAAAGTCAGTCGCGTTTGCATTGGGTAGTTTTTCCAACAGGTTTCAAAGGAACTTTCGTTTTTCCACTGAATGTGATGAAATTTCAGGATCTATTAACGGTACTCTCAGGGTATATGGAAAACCATTTAAACAATTTATTAAATTTCACCGCAGAACATATTCGACAGTGTTTCCTTTGTTCCCAGAAAGGTTTCATATGTGAGATCTGTGCTGCTGCAGAAGTGATTTATCCATTTCAACTGGAAGTGACATTGCGAGTAAGTTCTGCAGTTGTCCTTCTGTTGTAGATATATAATTTACTAAATTCTTGAGCTTTATTGCTTTGTTGAGTTTGTCGTTTCTTATTGTGGATTTTGTACTTTATGCTGTTATGGCAGAAAAATTCTTGCAATGCCGATAAAATACTGCAATGTAATGGAGCACAAAATAACTTTACCAGCTTGTAGTGTATCATTTTTAACTGGAAGTTAGCAGATGCATGCTGGCAGAAAATTTGATGGTTTTAATAATTTGGGATCTGTTTTTCAAATGCTGTCATAAATTGTAAACAGTTTATGATATTTGTGAGTTTGTGGAGATTTTAGTGTTTGGAATGTTTTTCGGTATATCACAAGAACTGTTTGGAAAAACAACGGTGCCCAAAATGCACTCGGCGAGAGCGATATACGCAGCAGCAACCGAACATCGGCTCACAACATTTACTTTTAGATATGGACTGAAGCAGTTTCTATACATTCTTTCGTAATCAGTTTTTGAGATTTCCGTACCTCGGTTACATTTTAACTTGGACTTTTTATGTTGTTCATTACAGCATTAAATACAAAGAAGTGAAACGAACTATCTCTTGTCATTTTTTTTCCCTTGAATATCCCTACGCCGAAGTATAAAGTTTTGGTGGTATTGGTTCGTTTATCAAAATTCAATGCTGATTCCTCTCAGCAAAATCCTAATTGCTGAAGTTGTGTTACTGATATGTTGTAATACTTTGCGGAAAAAATAATTTTGGTCTTAACTAGTTGCCGAGAGATTCGTGCTTTTAGTGCTATTAATGATGTAATATTCTCATCATGGCCGAATATATGTTTGTATTTCTTTTTCCATATATTTTAGAATTGCATAACTTAAAGCGCTTTATGTGAAATGTTTAATGAGTAATGTGCATATGGTATTCGTTCGAATGATTTATATATTAACTGCATCATTCAGATTTCTCACTAACAGTTTTGAGAAAGTAAACATTGTGTCAAACCTCTGCTTTCCCTTTTATTTTAATTTGAATTCTGCATAAAATAGACACAAGTTTATTAGCAACATGCAACGACTAGTAAATGAGAGCACACTTTTTAAACTCATCATTAATAAAATAGAAGAACTATAGTTAGAGGGGAAAACATTTCGAGGAATCCAGGGAGTTTAAAGTTCAAGCACTTGTAAGGTATAGAGATCTTGCAAAAACTACCGTTCTTGAATTACTTTTGGAACTTAGAATTGGTGATTTTAATAGATCATTTTCAGCACTTCAGTATGTATTCTCTTGTTGCATAACCTTCCAGCATCGATATACGATATTGATTGCACAGGTAATACTATTTTTCTCGATATTACGATCTCGATATCTTTCGTAATAAAAATATTATGGTAATGAAGATGGATGATGGTCTCCAACATGTCGTTGACTATGTGCATCTCCACCATTGTGCTCGATTCATTTTATTAGTCATGCAGAATAAAATACATATGTGTAATTAGATCACATAATCGATCGTACTTTTTGACGTGGGAAATTATTGTACTTCGGAATTGTTCCATTGTAAGTTGCTTAAATATTAAACGAGTATAGGGAGTGGTGTTTACCTAGTAAATAAGTGGTTTTTAGACTTTTTGTAATTGGTGCTATTTCTGTTCATAACGTTGCTACCAGAAGATTAATGATGCTTTTTGCAAGAAATAACAAGAGATGTTTTGATCACAGTTCAAATGCATTTCAAACGTTTTGTTCTGTCGGGTAGTTCTAGTTACTTTAAGGTATATCATCGGAAAGGAATTTGAATTGATTTGTCAAGATTCTGTAGGACTGAGCAGTTGTCAAGGGTCAGATTGCCATGACTTCCATTCCTTGTCCCTTTAGAGCCTAAATGGGCTCTAAAATGATGTATATCCGGAAAAAGCCACAATATTGTCTGCTGTACAGTTTCCCCTTCGTTGAGTATCGGTGATTCGATCATCAGTACCATCCTTTCCACCATTGTTCCTCCCACTGTTGCTATTGCTACCTGACGTGTGAGCCATCCTTCCTGTCCCTCCTAAAATAAGCTTTTCTTGTCAGCACATCTGTTATGCAACTTCGTTTTGTCGTCCCTAAAACAATTTATGGAGAATACAGGCACAGACATACACACAAACATACCTCATATATATATTGTACGTGTGTGTTTGTATTTGCATGCATGTATGCACGCATGTATATATGTATATGCCATGTATGTATATATGTACGTACTGTATGTATGTACGTATTGTATGTATGTATGTATGTATGTATGTATGTATGTATATATCTATGTATGTATGTATGTGTGTGTAAATATGCTTTCCATTCTGATTCATAGCAGTACCAATTTTCGATATACGTACTGGGACTGATTGCTTTTTGAGTTTTCTTCTAGCTCCTAATTCTGCCATTCTGATCATGTCTGTCTAGAGATATTCACCATTAAGTAAGCACTAATCCGTTCTCAAGTAATCAGCCAACCTACGAGAGGATACTATCTTCGAATTATGATACTTTCAGAAATAATGAAGGAAAATTGATCAGAAGTGATTGAAGTGCATCCCATGCCTGGTGAAATACGGTAAGATCAAGTTTGAAGTGATTGATAGAGCTTAGGCATAAACATCCCTGCATGCAAATATTGCACGAAGCTTTGTCACCACCTCTGTTTATCTCCGAAAGTAAAATTTAATTTCTTGCACTGCTTCGGCTACAAGGAGCAACATATCTCTGTTGTATTTCACAAATACAAGCAGTGCAATCATCCTTACAATCCGATGTTTTAATAAAGAGGGTAATGGCATTGTTCCTGTACTTTTCGTAAAGCTTCTGGAATGTTGCTCTGCCCTATTTGGATATTGCCTAAGTTTTATCCCAATGAAAACAATGAGTAGTTAGTAAGCTGCTTAACTGACCACTTCCAATTGATCACTCAAATTGCTTATTGTCGTTTTTATCGCTTTCTTACGCTCCCAATTAAGTACCAACGATTTCAGGAACTTTATATCAGGAAGTTTCCCTCTTCATTATAATAACAAAAGGATAGCTTGAAATGATAAATGGGCAGCAAAAGTATTTACTGCAGGTATTGTGATGGAAAATTGATAGCAATCTCCGGAGATAGCAACTTCTGCCTTATATGATGATGTCAATGTCATCGATTACCCCAGTGGAATAGTTTAGAATTCCTTTCTTTTATGTCTGCAGGAAGAGTTTTTTTATTTGCAGCAGCAGTAGTAGCCGTGGAAGTCGACTGCCTTCTAAATTTAGTGGCACTAGTTAACTAACTCACATTAAAATCTTTCGACAGCACCTATTGACTATTTATTGAAACGTCTTCCTACCTTTCAGAAGCACTGATTAATCATTAAAAGATTTCTCTACCTCACGACAGCATTGCTTGTTACAAACTGTACCTTGAATCATTCCATCTACTTATATGAATATACGATTGAATAGCGCAAGATTACAATTCCATATCTAATTATATAAAATTTTCTTATTTGATGACATTGATGATTGCAATATTGCAGAAGCAAACTATCTTATTCATAACGGTTCTTAAATTCCGGAAGGACTTGCTTTCTCAGCTTCAGTTCGAGAAGGAGCATCAGCTTGGCTTTAAGTAGTCAAATCTTAAACATATTGCCATAGCAGTTGACAGTGAAATGAACTTTATAATTATTATAAATTACATAAATCTTTTAATTAGTAATACCAGCTAAAATTTGACGAAAAGTGATCCATTCCAATATATTATGAATCTGATGTCTAATATAAGTTGTTGGATGATGGAAGAATTGTTATTTTGTGGGGGTTGATGATTTACTAGAGAGATATCGAAGTAAAGCAATTTCATCGAATTCTGTCTCGCTACTATTCTCATCCGGAAATATTCTTAAACCCAGAGTTTGCTTCTGAATGCAATATCATTTCCTTATAACTATTTAAGGCTCTGATAAAATAAGTGATTCCGGGTTGCTAATTTTGAAAAAAAAAAGTGATTAAATTGTCATTTTATTTGCTACCATTTGTGATGATTGTTTAGCTCTACTGAGTGGGCCGAGTACGCCCAGAACCAGTTTTGAGTGAAGGAGACAATAACGATGACATCTTCCAGTCGTTGTGCTTCTGCTTTGTATGGTTGTACAGGTAGATCGGCCACATGCGGTTCAAGTCAACCCCTTTTGCCCGTAGTAAGTCATTGGAAGAGTAGGCGCGTTTCTCTTGCAAATCAACATCTATCCAAATATCTCACCAAAGAGTCTTTTTTTAACTCATCAAAAACTATTTCCTTTCAATAAATTATCTTGTTCGATAATTGACGTTTGCTTATTTATCCCTGAATGTTTATAAATACTCCGCACATCCATCGCGATAACCATTCGCGGCATCAATTTTGCCGCAGAGAATTTTTGTTTCAGAAATTTCAGTCACCCTTGGGAAAGGAGTGTAGACTGCATAATAATTAGTTAAATTCAGGTGCAACTTCACAATCAAGTGATACCTCTTGAAATAGTGTGTTCAAGATATGCAAATTTGAAATATCGCTGTCGAAATTTTTAGTGTAAAGTGAAGATCATCGTGCTGATGCCAAAGATCTTGATGATATAATGTAAGTCAACTGTTATTGCCTAACTTCAAAATGAGGCTGAGATGAAGAGTGACAATGGATAAAAATGAAGGGGATATTAAAATTGATGTTTGAATACGTTTCGAATGCCGTATCATTCTCATAATGTTGTTGTTTGTTATTGTTGCTGCTACGTTCGATGTTGCAAAGGGTCACTGTCTCGAAGGGAAAAAAAAGGCACTCCTCAAAAATATAAAGGATCCATCGTTATCTTATATGTATAGACTTAACTTTTTACTCTTCAAAACTTTTGTCAATTTCTCTCCTTTACAGATCTTTTCATCGTTTTCGTACTTTTCCGATTCCTTGTAATCACTAACTTATGATTTCGTTTTAATTCTTCATTCTCTGTTCAAAGATTTAAACTGATTTTGTCTCAAATGAGGCTAAAATTCCTCGGCATGAATCATCACTCTATCAAAGAAGTTCACTATCACTATCTTTCCTTCCTCTCTTTATCTTTTTTCCTTCCTCAATAACTTTCAGTTTGTGTCACAAACGATAAAATGGTACGAATAGTTGATTAACGGTTATAGTGGTATACGGTAAGTTTTGCGTAATATGCAGACCTTTATGGAAGAAGGAACAAAAATGAACGCACTGATTTTTATTCAAAACGTTTGCGGTATGCGGAAGTAAAATTGCTTTTCACTTTATGAAGATATTATTTCTTTAAACCATTGATATGACAGTGATCTTTTCTTAATTCTGGTTCATAATAAAATCTTTCTATTTTTCAATTACATCATTTTTCAAGTTTGTTTCTCACTCTTCCACCCGATTGTTTCACCAAACGCTAAATTTGTTTGGTGGAGTAGTTGCTTGATATATTAGTCAGAAGATATTTTTTGAAGGGAACCAATGATAAAGTAACATCATTTTGCTGTATACTACCAATACTATCACATCATATTCAGGTTATAAATCACAACAAAACATATCACCAATAAAAATGGTTCAGTATTTAATTTCCTGTATTGCCTTTTTGCAGATTTGTTAGAGCAGTGAGTAACGTACAATCTCTGAATTTTCATATAATGAAATGGAAAGTATTACTAACGATGACGAACATTTCCGTTGCTAATCATTTAGCTTTGCGGAAAAATTCACTTCTCTCTATCAACATTAACCTTTCAATTCTGTCTATCCACTAATTCCATCCGATCTATCCATTATAATAATGCACACATTATTGGTGCGAATTCTGGAACACCGACAGCTTTCACATGCTGGACAACTGTTTACTTTGTCCGATTATGACGTCATCACTGATTTGGTATGTTAAATTTCCATCTAATTATAGATTTAAATGGAAATTCATAGATAGTGGTGCTAAAATGAGAATGTGTAAAATGAATTACTTTGGATAATGCCAAAGCCTTAATTGATCTTTGTTTAGTGTTATTATTCATTTGAAATTCTATAAATATCCATGTTATGTTTTATTTGCATTGTTTTGGCATTGGTTTTTTTTTTTTTTTTGATGATTAACTGCGATGTTCTTCATGAGAGCTATAAATAGTGCTGTTAGACCTGATTAGGTTGGTACCATCTTTTCACAATTAATTTTTGCACCCGTTGTTTGTTTTTAGTTACTTCAGTTCACTTCAAGTACGGTCCCACTGCATTGATCTGCTTTTTTAATATAAGATACAAAAAGTTCACAAGATTGGTGAGTGTTAGATTATGCTAACATCGTCTTTAATTGTAGCATCGAACGTTGGCGAAAATCAAATCAATCTTTAATGCGTCTGACTACTGTCGTAATGCAAACGACCAGAGTGTCGTCGAGATCGTCTTGGCCCGTATCACTGCTGCAATCCGGTTATTTGTTTTATTCTATTCCTTTTTTTGTCCTAGTTTCTCAGTAATTTAACGTGTTTTGTATCGAACTTTATCTTGCTTTTTACATTTTTTCTGAGCTTGGTAACTTTGCAAAATCTAGGACTTTCAACACATGTTACAATACGTATTTGATACGAAACGAGGCATTCAACTTTTAGGATGGTTGTACTTAAATCGAATGAAGTAAATACATCAAGCTATTATAGTAATTCTTTTGAAAAAAAAGGAAGAAAAAAACAAAACAAAAAACTGCACATTATGGCTAAGATTGGTGGAAATTTGCATATCTGCGTGCAAGTTCTCTCATTGGCAATTGCGAATTGTAGTGAAATGAATAGCATCGAAACTTATGCTCCAGCGTTAGTCGATACACTTGGTAGCTGTTTGACTCATGAGATGACCGCTGCTGATTTAAGTGGTGTTATCTTGGACACGCCACATTGTAAGATTGCCTGCGAACTTCTCAATAGCCTTTTCTTGTAAGTTTTTGACCTTTTTTAGGATTATCCTTGACCGTTTCGGGCTATCTTGACCTGTTATACTTCGAAATATTTGGATTATTGCGGAACAATAGTCTTCATATGAACATGCTAGAATGTATTTTCACTTACTCTAAATATCTTCCTCTTTATTATTTTAACCTAGCTACACTTCACTATTCATTAGTGAACCACATTAGATCGTTATCACAACCCCAGTTGTGATTCACGATGATTTTGAAATTTCATGGAATTTATTTGAAAGCTAATACAATTACTGTTTCAGCATTATAATAAGAAATCGGTGATGACAGTAACAGTGCCAACAGCAATACGGGCGTTAAGTTGCGGAAGTGATGAGTTAACTCGAAATACTACCGGGTATTTATCTTTGGCCGCTATACATAATGGACGTCTTCTTGCACAATACTCCCTACAAATTATCACTAATGTACTTAGCGGTCAGTCTAAAAAACATCGTTTTAATAGCAAAAAGAATCAACTGAATTAATGAAATCAGTTAGGAAATATTAGGAAAGATAGGTATGATCACTGTGTGAATGAAGAAGAGAAACTCGATTGTTATCAGCGTTCTGTGTTATGCATCCACAGATTCTAAATTAGTAATAAGTAATGATAAAACAGTAGCAGACAGTAAAGAAAGTATTAAGGTAAACTACTAATTGCCGAATTTGAATATAAAAAAAGATCACAATTTTCGGCGCTCTTTTATGCCCATAAATAAAAATTTTGAGTTTGAAAAACCATTTCTATTAAAATTTGTTTTTAATGGTTTTCGTTCACAAACGCTAGAAATCTAATTTGCTCGAATCCTGTTATACCAGAGAGTAGTTTTAAGGAAATTCTTCTTTCTTTCTTAAATTCTTTAGCAATTGTTACATTCTTTTTTCGAGTTTTGTAAATTTAGCAAAAATACCAGAAGTGTTTAACTTAGCCTTTTATTAAACATCGAAGCATTTTTCTCATTTATATTTGCGTGTGAGTTTCATCTAAGATAAATATTGCACTTTATTTTCGATGATTTTCGTTCGTGAATTAGGAACATAATTAGAAACTTCTGTTTCCCTCGAGCTTATTTAATCTTCACAGTATTATTGATGCAAGACTATACTCTTATGCGCTTATCTGGTAGCATTTTTTATTTTTGATTAATTGCCATTTTGGAAAAGATGAAATTTCCTTTGGATTTTGTTTTTCCAACCAGTAAAATGTTTAGGCAACTTCTCATTGGTGAGGGTAATTCCGCAGCTTTATCCGGAGAATCGCGAACCGTTCCATGCTCATTTTCCGCAGATTCTCAAATTGCTTCAGAATGAACAAACGGATCAATCAGAACGTCTTTCCATTCTGCAGTTTACATCCATGGTTGCTAACGCTAATCCTGATGTAAGTCCCCCGAAATTTCTAACTAAATTTCTTTTAAATCCCCGAATGAAGACTTCTCAAGGGATTTGATTCTGTTTGGAGAAGGAATGAAACAATATAGAAATAGTATCGCAAATTGGCGAAGAATTATTGTGTAAGCTTTAGCCAAGTCATTATGGCATTTATTGCCATGTGTTAATCGGATTAAGCTGAACTATCCCAGCTACCAACGACTTATTTCCTCCTCGAGAATTCCAAGGAACAATCTGATCACTGATTTCACTGGCTTATTTTATGCTAGTATGCTTTTGGGGAAGCTGTAGGGTTTGGTGGTGAAAAATCACAGCCTAATATATCATAACATTACTGAAACGAGGCTGAACTGAATCTCTGGATATCGTGTTTGATAATGGTTGGCAGTGCATATTTTTGTGTCTCCATTAGATCTGAAGTTAAAATTGGAACTAAAATCCTTCGAATGGAAACTGAGTTTTCTAAATAGCCTAAGTGACGGTATTAATGTGCGAATGTATTTCCTTCACTTTTATTTGATGGCTTGAAGTAGTGGACCCTATAATCCATATTTTATTGTAAAACGTTTGGGCGAAATACTATGCCGAGTAGCCGCCACTACTGAGGGAGTGGAACCTGCGCAAATCAAATAAGTTATTAGGGTGATCCTTTATTGTCTTCACAAGCACTTGTAGTAAATTCATTTCATTGACTGCAACATTTACATTATAATAAATGGTTTGAGCAATTCATATTATGTTGCGCTTCTGCGTCGATAATATTGCAATTGGTTATTTTTTTTCTCTTCTCTTTGCTAATATTTGCAGTCGCATCTCAAAATTAATACAGTTTGAGACTAATGAAAACAAAAAAACTAATGCCAGATAATGCGCACAGTTTTCTAACAGATTTTCTAACATAAGCGACAACTGTTATTGTTTAATATGTAATTGTCTCGGTTTTTTTTCTTCTTATTACTTCCCAAATGTTTGAAAAAGGTTTGGAATTAAAATAATTTTAGCTAATTCTCAAACATCTGGATGATCTCGACATTTTTCTTTTTCACCCACCTACTCGCACTGCTGTCCTTCACATTTTCTTGTCGCTTATCTCACTGAATCGGACATTTGCTCTGGTTCCACACCTGGATGCACTGCGTCGAGCTGCTAAGTTAGTTCAGTTCGTTTTTCCATTGCGACTAGTTAGTTATTAATGTTCTTGAAAACGACCTGGTAGGAAATAGGATGTCATCCCTCTTCTTTTTCAAAGTTGTCAACTTCATTTTACAGCTAATGGCAGCATAGAATTGCAGAATAGAAGATGTAGTTTACAGAACAGCAGATTCGGACAACACTTTGGCAACAATGGCCAAAATAATTGGCGTCATTGGAAGGAATGATAGTAACGCGGCACATATTGCTGTGGATGATCTGATAACGATGAGTTGTCGACTTTCTGATTCTCTTCCCACAATACTCAAAGAAATTGAAAGTGTGATTTTTTCCCATTAATTAAGCAATACTGCATATCATCTAATTTGTTGTAGATGATAAGCAATAGTAATAGCTGCAAAGCAAAGTATGACAGAAGACAATACAAATGCTAAAGTATCGCTATGGCAGTACATATATTATCTGAAGAATCTGTTTAACTAACAGATAATTTCACATATGTTTTTTACTCGAAGTGAATAAAATCGATCAAAATGCCGCTTAATATATTCTTACGGGTTAGGTAAGTATTGAAGTGCCTAATGTAATGTATTTCCAAGATGACATGTAATTGATATCTTTATATTTTAATATGAGCACTAGAAGGAAGTGTTAGATGGAAGTTAACATAATATTAGATGCGTAGATGTACAATTGTTCGAAATATATTAATGTAGCAACATTTTGGGAGATGATCTGGTTATTTTCGGAAGAGACCTTCCTAATCTAGTTATTATGTTCGGAAGAGACTTTCCTAATCTAGTTATGTTCGGAAGAGATCTTCCTATTCTGGTTATGTTCGGAAGCTGTTTTCTTTTTTTTGTCTTGTTTTTCCTCATGAAATAATGCTTCCAGAATGGGTGGCTATGAATTTCGTTCGATTTGTTGTTATTGCCACGCTTCAAACTATTACAGTTTCTTTTTATGGGAATGAAAAGGGAGTGCTTCTCTATAGTGTGATCTCTCACTTAATTACAGGTGTGGCGGAATGTTTCCCAGCTGCAGTGCATCCGCATCTTGCTTTCATACGTTCCATACCAGAAACGCGTCCTTCTACATCGGCTGTTTGCTCAAGGATCCGAGCACTTAGCAGGCTTGTTATTGCTACTGTTTTCGGAATTTTTTTCTTTTATATTTTTTATCCTCAGAAAAGTTCTGCGGCTTATTTTATCTCTGAAAATTGTTTTGTAAATATTGCAATATCCTTTCTATCACGAAAGACTCAGTGGATGCAAAAACCACTTGCAGTAGTAATAATAGTAGTTGTAGTAGTAATAGTAATAGTAACACTGCTAAAACATCGATAATTATGGGGAAATGTAATACATATTTTAATGATGTTAAGCTATTCAGATGAAGAAAGTGTGTGTGACTAAGAAGACTAAAAAAGTTAATCATTTATTAAGCGACCAAATAGAGCACAGAAATGATGTGATTTGGAAATTACAGGTTCGAGGAGAATTGCTTCCTCTTTAAGATTTTCCTTTAGGTAAATCAAATAACGACCCCCTAAATTAAATTAAAACGACCCCCCTAATCTGAAATACTTAATAGACGATGAAGAGGCGAGACGCTATTTAATACATTTGAAAATGCTCTTTCATTTCCATTTGCCCATCTTTTCCTGTGCCTGTACATATATTTATTCTTCGGGAAATACTGTACTGACTCTTAGTTTCTGAACCAGAGGTGATCAATCAAATCCTAAAATTTAATCCAGAATATTTAATGGTGGTACGAGATCTTTTTGTGTTAGGAAGCTATGAAAGGATTAATTAGCAGCTACAGTAAGAAACCGATCAAAAACTGGTTTGAAGAATACCTTATTATGCATCACATTGTTGAATCCGAAAAGAAGAACTGATTCAGAAATGGTTATTTGTACCAGGCAGAATGTCATGAAGATGCCACCATGGTCAATGTTATCGGTAGTATGGGTGTGCAGCACTCTGATGATTCTCTTGTCTCTAAGTTATCCTTCAAGATTGACGCTCCGATCATTTCAAGGTAATTCATTTTCTTTCCCGGCGCCACCTATACGGTATTTCATCGTCATCTCTACGTTTTCCTCTTTTATTACCTTCGATTTTTGTTGCAACTTGTATTAGAATTATAATTTTTCGAAATTGAAGTTTTCCGGAGAAAATAACTTGGTGAAATGAGGGATATGAAAGTATAAACGCGTAATTTATTTATCATATATGAGTCAGAGATGACTTGTGCTTTTGATTCAAACGAAGAAGTATTGTTTACATGTGTTACACATTTTTCATGTATGACTTGGATAGTTAAATCTTGAATCTTTCACTTCGGTTTCCTTTATTCAGAAAATTCCGAAAATATTATGTGAAATTCGGTAAGTTTCTTGATGTTTGAATGTTTCAGCGGTGTTCGCACAACGGTAAATATCAGTGATTCGGCAGAGCTTTCGGCACAAGAACTCGATAAGAATACTGAGAATTTGGCAAACGCGTACATGTGTAGCAGGTTACGATCCAGCTGCTCCCTTATTAATCAAACCAGTCGATCGTACGGTAGCTTGAATCCATACATGTTGGTATTCGCTTTTATTTCTTGAAATCCAGAATTTGCATATTTACTTTTGAAATGGTACAAGATGAAGACTACAAACCGGACAAAAAACAGCTCTCATTTGTGTTGGTGGAATTGATTTGGTTTGTTTGTAGTAAAGATAAAAGGACAAAAAATTTCTATTTGTTTGATACGATTAGGATCAGTCAACACCGCAAATGTAGTTGCATTGCTATAAATATCGTCCCAGTTGTTCACTTCATTCCAATACAATTTCTTGCATCTATTATTCTGCAAAAGAATGATACTTAAGTATTTTAAACTCTTATCTTAAAGTAGATGAGCATGATTTTCAGTTCTTCATATCATTTTCACATGAATAGATTATAAATCCAACGCACTGAATTTTATAAAATAATTCAGTAACGAAAAAATTTTATAGTGAAAATATAGCAGTTGCTGAAACAACATCCCGTGATTCCCCGTTATCCATAATATCATCTCAGAGCAATCGACATTGCAATGGTGTTGCTTTTGTACCGATATGTCCGCCACCATCTTATCAATCTCCAAAAGGACAAACAGTGCAGCAGAAGGCCCCTTCGCCGTTATTACCAACTGCCGTACAGGTTGCAGTTTTGAATAGAATATTCAAACTTCATATCAGTTAATAATGAGCGGAGATCGTCAAAACGGTCTTTCAGGAGTGTAAAGTACATCACTGCGCCTGGTGAAATGTCGGCAACCACAACTGTCTCTTTCATTGCAGTGACCTTGAAAACCACTTAGGCGTACTTCATGCAAATATTATTTTGTTTGCCATCAAAATATTGCAGATGGGTAAGGATGGCCGGGTACGTCCACTTGCAATGCACCAGCGCCGAACGAATGCTGCGCAATGGATGCCATTACTGGTAGGGCGACCTGCTACCACGATAACAACACCAGCTCCGGCGACAATTTTAGCCGCTAGTGCTCCCAGGACTACAAAATCAGTTACTGAAACCACTTTTCCCGTAAATAGTGGCTCAGTTAATTCTAAATCAGCTGTCGGAAATTCTGCTCCTGTGATACCACCACATTCTGTGCTGGAGGATTTTTTATCAACCAGCCACGCTGGGACAGCGACAAACACTACCGCAACAAGTGATGCCGTATCAACGGATATAGCTATTGCATACGGACGAGAACAGACACAAACCTCGGTTGGGTTTTTTATTTTTATGATTCCAATCGAAAACCGAAATCGTTGAGTAAATTCATTTAAAGTCAGCATGCTTCAAGAGGTAAATACTGTCGGACAGTGCAGCTTGTCAGCTTAAATGGTGGATAAATAATAAGGAGCTATATAAACCATAAAATAAAAATGAACATTTTACTGGTACTTATCTCTTTTTATATATTTTGTACATGGAAAAATTCAGCTTTCAAATATATCAAGTTGACATTCAGTACTAGATATAATTTCAAAAATAGGATTAAAGAAAACACATTCATAGGATACGATAGATCGTGGAGACGTGGTGTTACAATTTGTTGATCATCGCCGAAGTAAAATACAAAATTATATTCATAATATCAGTAAAACATATCCAATACCAGTGCTTTGTATCGGAGAGGGTAATAAAGGTACATGGCATTTCATCCTTCTTTTTTTACTGCATTCTAATTCTTGCTTTCAATAGCTTATTTCTCGAAACCATAAAAGCTGTCATCTTTCCAGGAGTGAAACATCGAATGCGGATTTATTTCCGGTGTGAAGTAACCGATGACCACTGTATATATGATTCAAACCAACTTTTCAGTTTTAAAACACATTGTGCTCCTATATGGCTTCATCTCATGTTCTTGCAGGTAATCTCTACACTGCTGTGAATGGCTTCTTTATTTTTTGGATTACTTTCTTTTTTGGTATTTGCATTAATTCCATTAAAACCCTCCCTGAACCTGATTTATTAATGAATTTACATTGAGCAACTGAAGTTCAAGGTGGCTTGAATTTTTGGTATGCTGCCGTCTTTCGCAAAAAGAGTTTGCAGAAATCTAGAGATTGTCTCGAGAGTTGAAAAAATTTTGACCTTTCGGAATTAAAATATTTAAAATTCCATCGGCATGGTATTCTACTCCTGATATAACTGTAAATCTCATTGATAATGTATTATAAAGGAAAAAATCGATGTATTAGTGATAGAAATATGATATTTGATTCAGATGGAAGCAGCAAGCATCATAACAACCGGTCAGGTAGTTGCCCAATGTTCTGAAATGTATCAGACATTGTCCAATTGTTGGAGCTCTCTTCCTTCTGCGCAGACTCGGAATCGTCCTTTTCTAGAGCTTGTAACTTCTGCATTTCCGGCTCACAAGATTTGTTTTTCGAGTGTTTTTAATGTTTAAAGTACTGTTTCATAATTCAGGTTCTATTGCTTTTCTCAGTTCGTTTGGTTTTTGCACCCCTTGTTCAAACAGTCATGTAATACCTCTTGAATAATTCTGGAGATCTATTATGCTGTCCTTTTTTTCCAGGAACAACAACAAATTTTAAAAGAACTTCTCGATGCCCGTTATTTTGATTCATTTTCCTACAATACGGCACTGCAGAAATGGTCCTGCTTTAGCTGTAGCCATCCAGAACGCGTTAGGTTATTACTTTCCTTCGGTTTTACGTTATTCTAAAATGCAAATTAATTGCACTATAATTCCTAATTAAAACTAATAGTTTTGCTTCATAACTCTGAAATAAAATGATGACATCGCATACTTGACAATTTTCTTCGGAAATTCTTTAGAGTGCTGGAAAAACATCATGTTCTTACCCTATTATTTTGCTTCAAATATGGCTAATTGATGGAAGATCTGGTATAGATCTTCTTTAATCTTTTTTTTCACGCGTTTGACCTATCTGTAGGACGATTTTACGGTCGGATTCACCACATTTGCCAGTTCTTGAAGGCCAGCTGAAAGAGAAACGAGGACGATGGAAATTCTTGAAACGCTGGCATACTAAATACTTCACATTATCCGGTTCAGCACTAATTTGTCGGGAAGAAACTTCAAATGTACGTTAAGTCTTATGCCATGATACTTTAAAGATAACGTGAAAGCCTAATTTCTGACGTAATCAATTTCAGGCCATTATGATGTCACAAATTCAAAACATTTATTACTTATGCAAACTTTAGGCGGCAGACGACAAAATTATCTCTCCAGCCCTTGATTTACGGAAGATACGCTCTGTGAAATCACTGGGTAAAGGAAGGAAGAGCCGCAAATCACTACCGAAAGCATTCGAGATATTCACTGATGATGATATTTCCTACATCTTAAAGGTAATTAGTAGGCTAACGGAAAAAGAGTCAAGAATTAGTTACATCGTCTTTGCAATCAGTACGTACACGAGTAACCAAATAGCGTATACACATTTTATTACGATAATTTAAAAAAAAAAAAAAAGACAAACAGATGGTTCACTACAAATGATAGAGCTGCGATAATAACCTTAATTGCACATGTTAAATGATTTAAAATAATTGCTTATTCATCCATATTGCTGTCAAGTAAAAGCATCCATGATTTCAAAATGATTCTGATATACCAGTAAATTAGATTCCTCTCCTAACTTACAAAACAAATACTACCTGTGAACAATGTCTTCAATTTGCTCATTTTCATTAGCATTACACTGATGTTAATGATAGCAAGTCTAAGCACTTCAAAGACTAGCTTTAACAAGGACCTAATATTTGTTTTTGTGAATTTTTTTGTGGATTTTAAAAACTATTTTGGAGCTTTTTTTTTCTCAAAACTCTACGATTCTTTGCATAAGAAATCATATGATTAACGAAACGATAAGCTGAAATTGCTAATCAAGAATATGATCAAATCAAATGGAAATTATAGGCTAATGATCAAAGCAAAGCTGAAGAATGGGTGCAGTGCTTACAAATAGCTATAGCTCAAGCACACAAGGGACGATGAGTGAGAGCAAAAATTATCATATAATTCGGCTGTTTTGCTTATCACGGTGGAAAGTATTATTTGCGAGGTACGATACGGCAATCAGAAGTTTCGGATCGGGGCAAGAGTTGGTAGTTATTATGCTTAGAAGCGCCCTCAAATTGGATGATATTTCATCGAATTTGTGAAGAACAAATTTTTTGTATAGCTCTGTAATATTTGTATTTCTACCCGTTGTTTTTCTTGTCACTTGTGATTAATTTTAAATGACGGCTGCCGATATACTTGAAGAAGTTTCGTTTCATATCATCTTTTTTCCAGGGTGGGTCAACTAAAAGAAGGCATGAAAATTATCATAATATTTCATCACTCTTGCCAAGACTGGTTGAAAGTAACCAAGTTGTGGAAAAATATAGTGTTATAAGAAATTGGTATCTATTTTAAAACAAAAAAAGACACTCATAGGACGGAAATTTTCAATTCTGCATCAACTGCAAGCGTAACAGTTATATCTTCTGATATTGCCATGGCTTTTGGGCAGGTTGTAGCAGTGATATCAAATATTGCCTTTCTTCTTGGATATCGAATACGGGATATAACACTGTATAATACCGGTATTACGACTAAACCATGTATAAAACCAATTATTACGACCAGTGCCATCGTTTTCACGAAAACCTGAATAATGTAAGAAACAGTTTAATTTACACTCTATTAAAAGATCATTCTTGACAAACCGAAAGAATGTAAAATTTGCTATACTAGAAAATAAATGAATGACTGATAATAAAACGATATTGGTAATATAACATGCTCAAATACTAAAGCTTTGAAAATTCGCAAATATGTCAGAAGCGCCTAAAAGTCCCTTATGTCTCAAGGTACATTGAGACGATACAACAAGACAGGGATGCCTTATAAGGGAATATAGTTTAAACAAACATGGGCCATATGAAGATCGCTAAACTGAAGACTGAGCACGCAAAGTAATGTTGAGCATGCAGCCTGCAGTACTGGAAATCCGATTGCTCCAAAGCAGTGCTGAAGGGAAGCTTCGATTGTGTCCTCATCTAGAAATGATCGTAATTCTTCGATAAAAGTGGATAAATAACATAGCGTTATTGTTTAGAAAAGCTAACACATTTGAACAGAACAAATTGGAATTAAACAAATGAAATGAAAGGGAAGTGTATAAATTGGATGATTTCTGGCATAAAAAATTCAAGTTTGAATCGCTAATTCATTTCTGGTTGATTTTTGAATCTTCAGTTTATTGAAAAAACAAAAAAGCAAACTTCGGTAGCTCAAACATAACTGTCGTCGAGACGGTGTATGATAGTGGACAATAGAAATGATGAAATGACTAATAAAAATTCACAATCAAAATTTTCTGATGGAATAGTTACAAACCAGCTCGAAAGAAGTGATAAGTGACGTGAGCTGGAATATCGACACTGAAGCCGATGGACATTATCAAGGCTGACATAACGATTGGATCCAAATCAACATTCCATAACGATAGCAAACCAAGTACACCTGTAATAATTTTTTCACTTTATACCATTTAAATATTTTTTTCTAGTTAATCCTAATTCCTTCAAGTTTTATCCAATTTATCTATCATTCTTCCATTACAGATATCAAAAATATTCAGATTTTGTTTTTTAAAAAGGATTTTCTTTCAACTTACCAATGAAGATACTTAAAATGGAGAATGTAGCGATGATGACTGCAGTACACTGCGGTATAAAGAGGAAGCAAACAAACATCATAAAGATCACTGTAAAGACAGATGACTGAATTGTCTGATTCATTAGTGTTTCGATTATATCCAGAAATTTCGCATCATCATCGAAAACACTTACTTCATACATTGAATACTGCAACCGGAATTAGTTCATGATGAGAACCGGATTACCGTTTAGGAAAGCAATTTATTGGTTGATAGAAAATATCTCAATAATTAGTTGAGAATTAGATTAAGCGTTGAAATGCATTAGTTAAAGTGATGAGTATCAATCGATTGTATAAGTTATGGATGCAGAATATTTTTTGTATGTTGTGAAATTTTAAATAGAGCAGCTCGCACTTATCATTAAGAGCATTTTGAAGATGACCCCTCCTTGTCCCCCCTTTATCCAGTGCTATTTGTCAGATTTGATCATCATTTCATCTCCTTCTCTTTTATTTTACATGAAAAAATGAAGTGCGAACTATTAAAGAAAACTAAAAAAAACCATTGAATTATTAACTGGAAGTGATCAGAAATTTATGGTGCAAAAACGGGAAAATATAGACGAAATTCGAGAGTTAAGTTATTCCGTACGATAAATGGCAAAAATGGTAATGGGTCACGAATAGAAAAGGTTAATTTTGAGTGATTAAATTTCAGAAAAATTATATTGTAAACTGTCCTATAAACAAAAAGAAATACCCGGTCGGCAACTTTTCGCAACTGATTCAATAGTTTTGCACGACTAGACCATTTTCCGAGATCAGAATGCGATGATATCATGAAGAAATAACTTTTCAAATACCCTGTACCACTAAAATAGAATAAACAAATTCGTAAATTTGAAAGCAAAATCTTATCAGTTAGCTAATTTATATAGCTAGTCCTTCATAAGTATTGATAATTAGCGCTAAATGTTGCCATATATAATAATGCCTTGAAGAAGCTAACTGTTTATCGAGATCGAATTGCATGAATCCCTTCCAATAATGAAACTCTGGCCATGCAAGGAAATTCTGGATCTCATACTGTTTGATGCTAATTGCTGTTAAATTCCTGTCCAGAAATTCATATGCATCATTATTACTGAAATTTCAATTACAATCGTAGTGGCGGTAATAGTGACCCTTCTATACGTCTTTTTTTTTGCATAACATATTGAAAACATCATCAGTGTGAGATAAATGCCAGAGATCAAGCAACACTGCAAGGAAAGAATAGCTTACCGACTGTTGTCAACTAAATCGTCAAATGAAACTCGTTCTGTATCAGCAATGAAATCTACATAATCTCTTAGCCAAAATTTTGTTGCTGTCTGTCCCACCGAACTCGGCAGTGCTTCGAAATCATCTACCTAAAATTACATTCCATTTCATTTTATTTTCATTTGCACAGATTGCTGAAAGTTCGGGCGTTGCGTGCATCATCAATTTTCGAGAAAAGGTCATGTCACAGTAAGAATCGTAAGCTGTCATTTTAAAGAAATAAGTGATAGGAGGAATTTCTCTACTTGCTTACACTTTTTCTTACCAAAATATCTGTCCGATTAATTGGACTCTTAATCAATTCATACGCCGAAAAGTAACCATTTCAAAATGGAGAAACATAGAAGGAATCAATAATAAAATATTGTGTACATACAATTTTGTGCAATATGCGAATGCTATTAGAATTGTTCAGATTTCCTGGCTTACCCACGAAGATAAGTGTTGGAGCATAATACGGCATAATGTATTCATCCCGTAGTTGTAAGACCTTGAAAATGTTTTTTTTTTTGAAGTATTTTGTCGTTCCAATAATTTCTATTTAAGATTATATAGAGTGAAAAAAAAGACTATAAACAAATTAGAATAGATTCTAGTGGGTATATAAACTTTTGTGACTGTCTAAAACGAGTCCTCTCATCTCTAATATAAAGTACGAACATAAAAAGATTATTTAAATATATATCATCATACCTTAACAATATCTGAATCATGCTTTATCAGTTTCTCAGGCTTCAGTTCAACACTGATAGTAAGAGCACCATATATAGACAACAACCAGTAGAAGAGTAAACCAGCAACGGTAAACAGGGAGAATGATGTGGAACACAAAATAGAGCAATATTTGTTTAGTAAACTGTAAATTGGAGAAAAAAAACATCCAAAGAACTGCAAATTGAAAAAAAGAAAAAAAGAAAAAAAACATCAGTTGCAAAAATGACAGGAATGAATCATTTGGTTCTGCACACGCCAATGAATCTGAATTCAATTAATTATGAATCAGAACTTCCGAATTACCGAAAATAGAACTTAAGCACCATCATGTGCCAAATTATTGTTGACTGTTCTTATTTATGCATGAAAAAAGCTCATCACCCAGAATTTCCTAACTGCAAGTGATAGTAAATTTAAAAAATAAACTTAATTTTTGAGCAAAGAGTTTAGATCGTCCAGATTTTTACGTTTCTTACGTTCCATTGAATGCATAGACTTTTCGATCTGTAGTTCACGACGTTCTACCACTACCATTATGGCGGCAAATAATGTTATCTAAATGTATCGTATCAGTCATATATTGTAGGATAGTCGAAAATCAAATCTCCGTACATTTCTACATTCTGTTGTTTATACAATCGCTGAGTTGAGCAGTAAAATGTTGAAAAGGAAATGAAAGTTAGTTGGAGAAGAGAGATGATGCTAGTTTATAGTTTAAGCCAAAGAAGTGGCAGTTAACTGCTACAACAGAACTAATTTACTCAAAAGAAATGGAACATAATTAATATAATGATACTGAAAATGGCTAAAATAAGGAGAAAAGGATGGTATAAGAGGGAGCTGTGAGAAATAATAGACGACAATCTCTTTTTTTCCTTTGGTCACAATTTATCGGTTGGAAGTAACAAATGCTCACATGCGAGATTATCAATGAACAAAGAGAGGAGGTAAGTTGGCTTTACATCTAAGAAAAAATGATCTTAAGAATAGTACTGAGAATTTCAACAAATCAATCAAGTGCAATATCTTTTGTTACTTTGTCTATGAAATTCAATTGTTAGATGATTTGATTGTTCTGGATGTATGTGTTAAAATTGATCAATTATAATTTGAAATGTTAATAATTTTCAGAAGTAGTGGTATTACTTTGTTATATTTAAGTGTTGGACTGAGATAGTGAAACAGCGCAGAAATATTCATTCTTATAAGAGGTAAAGTAACGATTACTCGTATTGGGTATTCATCATTTAATTTATTCATTGATTCAGTATTATTCTACTCCTGAACTAAAAATTCCCTGGTTTAATCTACATATATAATGAATATATTAAATGTCTTAGAGCTAATGAAAATGAAAATGGATCCAGATTTGCGCGAAAATGAAACCTGGTAGATGAAGTCAAGGATCATCGCTGTAGCGTTTCCGATGCAAAAAATTTGAATTTCGGGTATTGGCGAAAGCATTCCCACCCCAAATGCTAGTACATTTGTTAACGTGGTTATTGTAACCGAAGGACCTGCAAAATTTTTGTAGAAATTACTGGAGTATAGTAACTAAGAAAGTCATTCCTACTTGCAGGTCATCATTCAGTCCCATTTTGCTTCAATCATTTCAAAAGGTAGGAGCTCGATATTGTTTTTTGGAAGTTTTTGAAATTTTAAGAGACAAGTGATGTGACACTTACCAACTTCTTGCAGCATATTACACATTCTTTTGGTTAGTCTTTCCATTTCGTTATCTTTGAAAAGTTCTTTAGTTATTACTTTTCTATAATGAATAAAGTAATGTATTTATGTGTTGTTGGAAATTGCTGACAATTTTCTTAACTTTCCAAATCACTTCTATTTTATTAAATCAATTTAAGTGAAGAAACGGTACTGATGATAAGTCTGTTGCCAGTAATTCATCATCATAAAGGCGTCATCCACACCAATGGCCAGGACTAAGAGCGGTGTCACGCACAAGATAGAACCGAATCGTAAACCGCACCATAGCAGAAGACCAAGAGCTGTACTGCAGGCTAGAAGTGGCGATACACAAGCTGCTATCGCTGTTACTATCTATAACAGATGATGAAATACCGCTGATATTCATATCAGTCATTGGTTATGGCCGATAAAAAAGTTACTGCTTTCTATTTGGGAATGAATCAAAAGTTAATGATCAATTTGGATACTTGCATTTGAAAAAAAGAAAAAACTGGTTTTTATTAATTAATTCGCAGTGCTCCTCCTCTCTTAATTTTTCGTCCAAATCCTGTTAATTTACCTTGAAATAACGAAATTGAGAAAGCAGCATAGAACTAATAATTGTTGTTACAGTGGAAAATATGCACATGATGACAAATCCGATTGCAGTGAATGGTAGTAAACTCAGGCCGGCATGGACAATTTCAGCAGTTATAAATGATGATGACATTGTAACAGCACTAATTATACTTGATGTGAAGTTTCTGAAATTAACAACTTATTAATCAATTCTAATTTTAGCAATAAGTTTGAAATGAATGCTGTATCTGCAATGCTGATCATTGTTTCAACAAGTGTCCCTGCTTTCAGACATAAAATATATTGTGTACGATCGGTGTGGATTTGATATCACATCGATTTCGACATCTTATCGTTTTGTTTTTGAGTGAAACAGTTCTTCGCTTTTTTGAAAATATAAGAAAAGTTTTTAATTCCAGTTATTCATCTAATATTTATATTTATGTATTTAATGGTAAATGAAGGGAAGAGAGAAGTAAACCTGTCGTAAACGAAGAGAAAGAGAGGGTAAACTTGTTGTGAGAGATTTTCACTACTAAGACAATGCTTATGCTGAATCTCTGTATATCTGGGAATAAATTAATTTTTATTAGGTCCTCTTGCTGATAACACCATTTTCATAGGACTAATTGTAACCGACTTCCAAATCAGCTTCAACAAAGGCAGAATTTCAACTTACTTTTGTATGAAATTAGTGACTGCCATTTCGTATCGTTCAGCGTTATTATTATCAATATTACCTTGAAGTATAGCTCGGAATTGCAATAACACCAAGCGAGTATCCAGCAAAATATTCCGTTTCCCGATCTGCATCCGGTAGAAATTGACATGGGAGATGCAACTTCGCAAGTTATACTTACAGCATGTGGACTATTTGCCGATCTACAGCTCTAAATTTAAGATTCCAACAGACAAAGCATTTCAGTTGATTCGCTAGGTTATGGGTAATGCTAATGCTAGCTGCATCACTTTTGCTTTTAAACTGTTCTTAACTTGCTTGGTTAATCTCATCCCCTTTTCCCTCCCTCAATCACTGCTTTTTTCACACGACATGAAATGTCTAAGTCGGATTCTGTGGGTAATGGTTGTAATAAATGGATCAAAGGTATTTGAAATATAATGATGTCATAATAGGATGATTGTATCTTTACTGAATTTCAAAAATATAAAAAACTCACTTGTACTCCAAAGAAATTGTCATCGATACGAAATCTTTGACCGAGAATGGTGCTTACTGGATAAGCAAGATCGATTTGCGCCGAAGTTCCATTGTACTGTTCATTTATCAAAAGACCATTCTACAGTTAAAGCTGCGTAAATTTAGATTGGAATTAGAGTAATATAAAATAAAACGAAGATTAAAACATACGTAGATATTCCGTATTGGTTCATTCACTTCACAAAAACTGGTGCAGAACTGTGAAAAAACTAATGTTCTATTTATTTGTTCATCTCTTATTTCCACGTCATTGGCAATTGAATCAAGTAACTGAAATTAGCATAGGAATATATGTTTATCAAGGAGATGATATACCTGTAAGCTTATGTCATCTAATACGATAATATTGAAATATACAGAAGTTCTTAATTTACTCTTTGGTTCAATTTTAAAAGCTTGGGAAAAAAAATTTCTCTTCCAATTACTAACTTCATAAATACAAAGCAATAGCTTAATTTTACTTTGTCCAAACTTCTTGCACAGGACTTCACCGTTTTCGGTTCTAATCTATTCTCACTTTTAATATTAAGCTTTTCCATTCACTGAGCAATTTTTCAAAGTTCAAAAGGGTGAAAGTAATGAACTTCCAGGCGTAAGTCCTACTAAAACGTAATGCATGCTAAAAAAAAAAGAAAATGTTATGTCTTAATAACCTGGTGAAAAGGAACTTGTTAATTGGTTTCAATCTTTTTTATTTGAAAGTATAATTTTAATTTCTAACCTTTCACTCTTCACTTTAATTTGTAATATACCATAAAACAATCGTAGTAGCTTACCTGAACAGTTTCGTTGAGCTGAGAGACGCCTAGCATAGAACTGCCGTCCTTAGCAGTTATAAACACGAAAACTACAACCGGGTAGCCTTCATGGCCAAAAAAATCATTGTAAATCTGTAAAAAAAATAGCAATCACAGTTCGGTATTAAATTCAGGTCAAAAGATGCCAAATATGTCCCCAAAATTGTTTAGGCTTACCTGATTACTATTGAAATTAAGAGGTGATGATGCGAGGAGGGAGTATGACTCGCCCAAACAGAAAGCAATAGATGGACAGCAACTGTTTTTTAGGCTTTACCACTTAATAGGTAAACTAAGATTGTCCTGTTTTAAAATTCCTTAAAAATAGTAAACAATTACGAAAAAAATTGTCATACTTTCAATTCTTTGAGAGATCGTGCATTTTTTGGCGTAAAATCAGTCACATCATTAGTCATTTTAGTTAACAAAATAGAAGAGGAGCACATCACGGTAACAAATAAAGAGATGAAAATGAAGAAATACGGCTTAGCTGTAACATTTCTGCCAGTTAACCTGGAAACAATCAATTTAAACTACCGTACGCGACTAATAAATATTAGTGGAAGACTTGAAATCCGGAAAGAAATTTATTTCTCAAACCAAAATACTTTATGGAAATTACCTTTTGTGATGAATATGAATTAATTATAACATGATGTACTAGTATATCGTTGACACTATTGACTTTGGTAAAATTGCATAAAAATGACAGTCATATTGATAGAGTTATTATGACATAATTATTACGACTTAACAACTGGTGATTAGAATTTGAAAAAAAATCTACCTGAAAAATCGTTTGAGATACTGCACAAAAATAGTATCTTCTGAGAGTGTTTTCATATTAGCATTTCTTTTTGACAGCATCTTTTCCTGCGGTAGTACTTTTTCGCTCTAGAAAAATTTATATTTTTTTCTATTACATCAATATTTTCAGATAATTGAAAGTGAGTGAAGTCTCTGATTTAAATTTCTTAAAAATTCAACTTCAAACTATGATAAACGTCTATTTTTCTAGAATCGCAAAAATGCCAATCTAAACACGTTCTTCATTTATAAACAAGCAGTGCAGCCTTAAGCTGCTTACTGATATTTACATTAGGTCTATCCCTCTGTTAATGACCACATATCACTGCCAACTGTTCCACATCCACAACTACAAAAGTCTAAGATATCACAGTCCTGAAAAAAATGAAATGTGAAATTTATGAGTGTAAATAATGCAATTTAGGACAAAATAGATCGATGGGAAACATCTTTTATTATTTTTTTTTATCCCACTCACTACTCAAATTTAGATTGGTGCACAACATGATATGTAGACACTTAATTAGATGAAAACTGCTTCTGCTGGCGCTAAAATCTAAAACTTCTCTGATCCCTTCAGCAATTTAGACATCAACGGTACACGAGAGATATGTCGTCCTTCTAATCCCTTGGATAGCACTGATAAAATCATATAAATGGTTAAAAACCTTTTTCATATTCAATGAGAGAAAAAGAAGTTGGTAACAATGGGAGAAAAGAAAAAGAAATAATCTTCTCAAGGGCATTGAAGAGATTAGTGAAATGAGTAGTAAAATGCGCAGCATGTAAACACACAGTTTGACTTTAGTTACTTTGATTAACTGATAAAAATCAACGTGCCTTGGTGAAGTTTCTAGAATCAGCTGGAAAATCTATATTAATAGATAATAGTCTAAAATTCAATACTTTCCCTCCACTTAATCGGTTGAAATCATTGGTAGATGAATTCCATGGCTTGTTAGTCTCTCTGTTTAATTCCAAAAAGTAGTTCTCATAGAGCTGCTTGGAAACGAAAAAGATAAGGACCCAAAATAGCAGTATTATTTCCTTGTGACTGTTATCTAAGTCTGCTGCTTTCCTTATCAACGAGTTTAGTTCACTTAATTAACGAGTTTAGTCGGAAGACAACTTAAAAGAACCTAAGAAAAGGAACATAGCCAGGTAATTAACAAGCAGCAGGATAAGAAAAAATGCTTGAAACATTTATCATTGGTATGTTTCACTGAAAGAAGACAGAAAAGAAGGAATAAACGAAACCAGATGTGTATATTGCAGTGGATGGCAGTGAAGGGAAGAAGAAATCATCAAAGTGGTACATAATTGATGAATATATGTATCAATTAACTTTTCGCTTGATATAGCAGATAATGCACCCCCTATAGAGAATTGTATTTTTTTTTCATCGGAACCTTTATTGATGGATCCAATTCTCATCTCAGTGAGTGGAGAAACTAAATTTTTTATAAACACCCCTCATCATTCCTTGAACTCATCGTTGCAACTTTTTATTGTGCTGTTGAAAAAATGGACAGATAAAATAGCAGAAGGTATGTAAATTAAGCCATCGATAAAAATTATTGGAGTGCGTGTATAGGATATAAGATCAGAATTAATTAATCAACAGGTATATAGGGGAGATGACTTTAAATGTAAGTATGCATCCGTAATTGTGACATTTTTAATGCATTCTAAACAAGGACTTTGATGAAGTCAGAAAGAAGAGCAGGAAAATGGAAGAATTGGAAAATGGGATCTTCCATTTACATCGTTATTTGCCAGGTACCGGTCATTCAATTTTTGATCGACGACCAAAAAATTGCCCTAGAAGTCAGTGTTACGATATCAAGGAAACATTTAGAAATTGAAATGTGATGTGTAGCAAGTTCTTCACTGCGGGACGACATTATTTCCTTTCCAGATGATGTCATCTTAATGACGAGTGTAAAATGTAACCTCAAATTTGCATGTGCTATAGGCGTCATTTTTGTTTAACGACTAAAACTCAGCATTTTTTATTACTTTGACTTTTTCGAATCTTACCATCAAACATGATTTTTCGACGAATCTACGGGATTGTCTCTCACTGACACCATTTATGATTTCCGGCCTTCTATCTGGATGATGTCATGAATTATTAGTTTACTCTAACAAACATGATCAAAAAACGGCTCACTTCGCAATTATTTGAACTCATTATCATCCAGAGGAGATCATATCAGCAATTAATCCTCTCCAAAAACGATACAATTTATTTCTGTACCATCCCAGAATTTCACCTGTTTAACGTTATCAAATGTATCAGATCACCAGTATCTTTCAATCCGAAAAGTTAATGTGGGCGTGAATGAAAACCTTCGCTTTTTTTTCGCTTAAATATCGTTTCATTCTTTCCTTTGAATTCAGCAATCTTAGCCAAAATCGAGCTGGACACTTTGATCAATCTAAGCATGCTTTATCAATAACAATTAACATAAGGAATAGAATGGCTTAACAACCATTATGAGACACAATTTCAATGGATCCAGTTCAGTGAACTCGTTTCGATCAAGAACTATCGTTATGGCGCGAACTGGTTATCAGCTTAGACGCTTCAACGCTGCGAGGCGACGATCGAGTTGCAAAAACAAAAGCGATGGTACATCACTCTATCTAATTCTAACCGTTATTGTTCACATTTTCAGCCGAAAAAGTAACACGAATACGCATCTATTGCGATTGCTCAGTTGCTTTCTAACTGTCAATTTTTAAATAAACATGTCAAGATGAAATAATTAAAAAAAAATTTATTATTTCATTCCATGCATAGGGCACTGATACTTCGATAAGTTATAGTTTATATGTCCTATAGGGTGGAGAAATTTTGTTTCATTTCCTTCATCTGCTATAGTGGGTCTGGCATTTTATCGGAAGGCCTGTTCGATCATTCATTGTAGAGTAATCAATCTGAACAGTGAATTATGCAAGATATGAATAAACGAATAATTATATTTCTTTATAATTGTAATGATCCCCAATAAGTTAATTTGACATTGTGTATAACATGGAATAGGTTTAAAAAACATTCTCAATATATATTATTAAGTGCTTGTTACTTGTTTTTTTTTTGGCAGTGAAATCCTTTTTTGTTAATTGGCACAGAAGAACATTTTTATTTTCGGGAGAAATATTCTTAGCATACGACTGAATCAAAGTAGACAGTTAATGGGATGAATGATGACTCCTGACTGAATCGAATTAGAATTTCTCCATTTATACAATGGGAGTTTGTTTTGCATATTTAACCATCGACTTTTGTATAGCTGAAGTTTGTTTACAACAATCAGACGGTGAATGAATCAGAGGTTCTTTACAATGTGTAGACATTTGTGCGTGAAGTTTTTTACAACATGATTTAATTTCCAACACTTTTACAACATCGATATATTTCTATATGAAAAATACTTCGGTTTTTCCGACAGGTAATGGAATTATGATAACATATCTTTACAGCTGTTGTTGAATATGGGTCCTGGTCTCTTCATTCAGTGTTGTTACTATACAGCTTTGCGATTAATACGTCGTTTTAACCAACTGTCAGCTACAACTTATAGCTGTACCTGGCGACTAAAACTTATCGCAGTGCATACCTCAAAAATACTGTCCCCATCGCTGTCAACTATTTTACTTGCACATCACTATTGGACAAGAAGGGAGGGGAGGAGGCAAGAAAAAGAATGATTGTGATGTGTCATTATCAGTATGACACCGGAGGATTCAGTGAACGGATTTTTCAATTTAACACATGATTCTGACGACGTAATGATGGTCAAGCCAACAGCATGCAGCAAGTATTCCAGTCTTGCTATTGCTATCAGTAATGATATCAACATATATCTCAACTCTTTTTAGTGTGCGAGGTGTTATAATCACATAATTTTGTGATTTAAAGAAATTACTGGTGAATAATTCCAAAAAAAAAGAAAAAACGAACAACTTTGTTAAACAGGAATATCCACTGAAGAACTATCAGCAAAATTTCTCCTTCACTTTTGTGAGGATAGCTTTCATTCCTTCCTGTTCGTGTGTTTATTTTTCTATTCATTTCGAGTTTTGAATTATTTATTTTTTTGAAGATTTTTTTGCTTCCATCACTTGTATCCTACCAATATCGATTTTGGATTTTATGAAACAAAGAGGAAGAAATAGTTGAATGAACGAAGAATACAACCAACTGCGCATTAATCTCTGTAATTTTAAAATTGATTTTGGACTGTCAGTTGGCGTCGAATTTTTAATTGACAAGGATAGTGTAAAATCTGCTTTAGATTTCATCTTTAGTACAGTTATAACTTATTAATAAATGTTTATAATTTGAATAGCTCCTTCAACTGGTCTGAAAAAAATCAAGGTTGATTTTCTTGTGAAGAAATTTCATCATGTGAAAACTGAACTCATTTATTCACTGAAACTGAATTTGGAGAAACATCAGTCTACCGCTGTCTTTTTATTTAGAAAAGTTTTAAACTTCTCTAAACAAAAATACACAACTCCGCCAAAATTTGGACATTGGTGGTCAAGTTGTGTACTTTTTTTTTTGGGGAAGAGGGGAGGAGGAGAGGACATTGGTGATAATCTAAAAGCATGGTGTGGCATATTTTCAGGAACTTTAGAAGCGGAAGACATCACCAAAGCTTAGTTGAATAGAATAAGCGGAATGTTCAATCGGCTGGCTCGTGAATCAATGAGGAACTGAATAGCGGACATGTCCAGCATATGGTCATCAACTAGCGGCTAGTCTACAACAATAAATTATTGAATAGACCTAAATAATTCAATTTCATTTCTTTCACTTTAAAAACCATGAAAGAATAATAAGATGAAATAATAATTTGCATGTGAAACATCTTATGGAGAAGATATGCTTAGATAAAAAGTGAAATAAGCTGAATGAGTAATTTTTTTTTCATAGCAATTTTGAATTTGTGAATATAAAACGCCAAGAAATTGACGGAAGCAATGGTAACATCAGCTGATTTCATCATTTATGTTTATCTATGGAATTTTCTAGCATAAAATTACGCAAAAAGTTTGAAATCATTTTACTATGTGAACGATGTCTTATCGATAAAAAAATATTTTGTATCTATTCCTAACTGTTCGCTTTTTATATCATTATTAACAGCATGCGACAAATGTGCTTTGCACCATACTGATGTAAAATTGCAATTGTAAATATAAAACAGTAGTATAAAATGGAATGTTTCCACGTTTCGAAATAGCATGCAGCCCTCTCTAACCGGAACATAATGAAAATCCATAATCGAGAAAAATCCATAATCGAGAAGGAACATAATCTAAAGACAGTTGTAATTTGATGCTAATCTGAACAGCTAAAATGAATGCGATCGAGGATAATCGCGAACACTAAACATATATTGATCACCTTGATTGACTAAGTCAAACGCCATCATGGTGTAGTTTGCCGACTCAGTCTTATTCTTCATCATTTATCGACTCGAACTAATCTCGAGAAACTTTCTTACCCATTATTTTCCAGCAAAATACTTCAAGTGATTACATATATCATTTCGAAAGAATGGCACCGGTAGAGAATTCGAACTACAGTTGCATTTTGAAATTTTTGGTTTTTTGAATAATCATCATAGTTGCTTGCGACAGATGAGAAAAATCTCTCAAACATCATAAACATATGACAGTTCACATCCCTAAAACCGCTAATTAAAGGCACATCGAATGAAAGTTGCATGTAAATACTTTTCTATTTCAGTGAATTCCCTTGTAGTCTGGAGAACGCTTCTCAAACCATTTTTTTTTATTTCTAGGCCAAAAAATTTCAGGAGAATTTGATGTAAAATTTGGCTAACAAAGTTAACGTGCGCAGATGCACTATATTTCAAAGAAAAGATTAACATTTCTTGGAACAAAAATTTATGCTGGTTAGGAAATAAATAAATAAAACAAAGTATAACAACTGTAAGTGTCAACAACAAAATCATGGGCCATAAAGAAATTAGAGGTCTTTTCTTAATTAATGCCAGCTATAAATTAAGCCAATAAGATGATGTAATCATACGGCAGAATATAAAAGGCATCAAGTCACCAGATCTTTTCGCAGAAAAAAACAGTTGTTGAGATTTCGTTTAAAATTTTTTCTACAAGAAGATGTGCAATAAATGAAATGAGAACCGTTTCACATTTTACTCCCTCAAGGAAATAGAAAAAGTAAAGAATGAAGAGAGAACGAAAATTTCAATCATCTTCAATGCCAAAACAACCCCAAGAATCTTGGCGATGAAAATTCTCAAATGCCTTTTCCTTTTTAATCGCCCATTTGTACGTCACTGGCATCAACATGTTGAGAAGATTTGAATAACTGAAATTAAACAACTTCTCAGTAGATTTCAAAAAAGCTCCTTCTTCTAAATAAAATGCAATTTAATGTATTATAATAGAAAATAGAATCAGAAAGGATAGAACCAAGTGGGGAATAGAATAAGGAACGAGCGCAGCTTATACTCACGATAAGCAATTCATTTCATATTCAATTAATTCTTCAATATATAATCTGATACTGTAAATGGAGTGGAAGAAATTCAAATGATTACTATGCCGTATCTGGACAGAAATTTTCAGTATGATCCATTAGTCCGCAAATGCTGCATGATCCAATATTTTCGAAAAATGGATGGAACACTGCACGTTCCTTTTTGGCGTGTTTTTTTCCTGGAAGTAATAACGCGTGATATTAATTAGCCTAATTAGTTGAACTTTCCTAAAGATTCATGAAAACACAAAAGCAATTCATTGAAGGAGAAGGAGAAAAAAACAATGCGGAACGGCTTTCAACACTGATAACATATTAGTTAAATGGACATACCAAATTTAAACTTGTGCTTGGAGCGCTTTCGGTTAGATCAGCAGTTCCTGTTTTCATTTTGCGTTGCCATGGTTTGAACTTTTGCTTCCGGACTTTGAACATTCTTTTCCGTGCTGACCCTAAGTGTAAACTGGATGAAATAGAAGATAGAATATTCAAGGAAATAGAATAGGCAAAAAATTTAGAACGAAATTTTCAATCATCTTCAACGCCAAAAACAACCCCAGGAATCGTGACGATGAAAATTGAATATTCTATTAAAGACGCCCACATGTTTTCAAAAAAAATATAACTTTGACTACGCAAGTTGGAAAAAAAAGTTAATTACAGATTTATCCTTTAATAATGAAAATTTAAACGGGACTCAAAGATATTACACAATTTCTGGTTCACTTACTTTTGAGTACTATTTTTTCGGTCTGCAAATTTAAACTTGATAAATCGCATGGAAGTGAATAACTGCGCCATATATCAACAGTTCCAAGACTAGCTGAAAGGGTAAACACGGAACATATGTAAACAACTATTTGATAAAAAACAAAGTGTGACAAAATAAACTTCAGTTGAATTTCAAACATACGACAGTGTACATTTCAGTACTGAAAATTTTATCTATCGCTGTAAAGACACTGCATTTAACTGAGAAGTTACTGTTAAAAAGTAAAATCACAGATCATGTTAAGTATCAATTCCGAGCATGGCTTATGAAGTGCTATTTATTATATGCATAGTAATTCCTCCTTTGTGAAATTATGTAAATTAAAAAAGATGAAGTTCAAAATTCTATAAAACAAAAAATAACACTTTACCTGCACTGGCACCAAATTCCAGCTCATTATCAAAAGCATTCATTGGTAGGGGAATAAAAGGAATATATGGTACTTGCATTCGAAACATTTCTAAATTCAAAAGTGTTTATTTATCGTATCCAAATTTCTATCATAGAACAAAGAAGTTTTCAGGGGAGAATTCTAATCTACATGAAACGCTCACCATTCTCACCATTATGAAGTATCGGAATATTCACTGATTGACTGGAAGTATTTCTTTTTCGTTTTGGTGGAGAATGAAAATTAAGACGTCTAGATGGAGCAGCTTCCCATACACTTCCAACTTCGGCTTGCAAATCGAACGGTATTTTTTTCTTTTTGTTTAGCTCTGATAAGTCTGAGGGCTGTAATATCGAATATTATATTATAGAACTCGCTTTAGATAGATTGACTTGAAAGAGTAATTTTCGAGCATAATTCTAAAAAAAGTGGAAAGTTTAATAATATGTGGCAATACAATTCACTACATCATACAACAAATGAAACACAACATACCACATCTTCATATTTATTCTTCAGTGCGGAAAATGGCATCAATTTGAAACCATCAATACTCCACACATACAATGGCCGTGCGTAACCAAACATACCCGGTCCGGATGTTGGCCTATTCGGCATCCTGCTAGCTCCCCCGTAAAGGTAATAGTCAGCAGTTTCACTTAAAAACTTATTCATTTGGCATCGCTCCCACGGTGTCTGTTCATCAGGATGAACCTAAATTATGATATTAATGAATAAAGAAAATAAATAAAAGAAAAACAGTTGTCAATTAGCGTATTATTTATTTAATGGTGGAAATTTAATAAAAAAAAAGAACTGGACAGAATGGATAATAGTGTTACCGGTTTATAGTATAGTAATCGAGTAGGCCTGTACACCTTTACTTCAGATGGGCGAGATGGAGGGATATGATTCAAATATTGTTCTATTTCTTCCGTACTTTTTCCACAGGGAACCCATTTTTGTATAACCTCAAATTCAATAATTTCAAAAGATAAAGTATTTTTTCAAATTGATTTCATGCTCTTTGTACTGTGCTCTTTATAATCAAAATACTGGAAATGATGAAAACATTCAGTTTGCATTTAGAGGACTGTTTTTTTGGACTAAATAAGAGCACACTTTTGGTATAAGATATACTTGGAAAAAAATTAAATGAAGAAAGTGACTTCAAGAATTGGGTCATTGGGCCGTATCACACACTTTAGATAGACCTCAAAAAATAATCGGTCCATTCCTCGTTCCAACTTATCATCCTGAAATTATCCCAGATGTAAATCTTCTAATACACACATTCTAGTCAACATGGAAGAATAGTAGCTCAAGATCACTAACTAGATAAAGCGTGCAAAGTGACCACCATCGAAAGCCGTAAATCGATAAAAAGAATATTCCCGAATGTTCCCGAAATATTCCCGAATGGATTGCAAAAGATGAAATTTTTTAGGCAATTTCAACAAAAAAGTGAATTGTTCAATAAGGAAAATTTTTCACATTTTTACGATGTATCAAACATTACACGTCTCCATAAGCATTTGTAGGAAGTCACTGAGAGAGAGAGAGAGAGAGAGAGAGATTCAGTAGATTTGGTAGATGTATCGTAGAACTAAAACATTCACTGAGATTAACAAACGAAGAGACTGACATTATGTGATTAAAATGACACTAAAATACAGGAGTTATTTGAGGGAATTTCGATGTACCAGAAATGAAAACTGACAAACCTTTAGACCAGGTTCGTCCTTCCATCTCAATAAACATAGCATTGCCTTCGTATCATCGGTCCCGAGCACTTTAGAATTTGCTGCGTAAGCCTCTGCCCACTGTAAAACGCGATGTTTTGCGTCAAGTATTGCTTCCTCGTTCACTTGTGCTGATTTCTGGACTCGATTTATGAGACGAAATATCCATTTGACCATTTCTCGTAAGCTTCTATCATCTACAAGAAAAATTTTTTTTATCGCCACTCCAGATGGCAACATCTAACAATTTCAGGGACTTCTAGTTATTGACTTTCGAAATTGAGTTTATTAAATCGTATCGGCAAAAACTCACATCTATTGCCGTATAACCCAGGAGTGTGTTTGTATAAGTTCGTGACTCGATTGTTCCTACCGGAACGCATGAAAATTTTGAATAGAACCAGAAATTCAATGAAAGAAAATTCTGGAATATCGTTGAAATGTAGAACAAAAGCGCATTCCAAATCCAAATTGTTGACATGACCTGCAAAAAAAGTATGAAAAATTTGTATAGGTAAAAACAGTTGTTTTCGAAAGCGTTCGAAAGATATCTTATGGAAGATATTCTATTATCATTTCATTTTACAATTATCACTTGATATACTCAGCAGTGGTACTTCAATCCAGAGATGTTTCCAAAAGCTTACCATCAACCAGAAATGCTAAACTAAAGAATGGTTTCGATTTGACACCGGCGTAAGTAATGGGTAACAGTTCTGCAACCCATACAATCCGTGCCTGCTGATCTGTTCCAACCACCGGTCTCTCTGGTATCTGCGATAAGAAAAATTCTTTTCCGGAAATCTCAAAAATGGTTTTAGATCTCGGAAATTAATCATAAATTTTCTTAGACAAGCTTTATAGTGACATTTAAGCACATTACAGAATGCACTCCGAAGCAGTCAGCAAGATGATAGTAATTACTCATTATAAAAAGTTCAGGACCCAACAGTAATTAGTTTAACAATTCATTAGAATCCCACGAGGATCTCATAAATTACTACAGAGTAACCTTACGTTAACTTCTCTCGTGGCAAGTAATTTGCGGAGAAGTATCTTCGATAAATAGTAGTCCGCTTGCCAAGAAAATTCCTTTTTAGCAACTAATTCATCCAAATATCTGAGCGCATTTGTAGTAAAAGAATTCTCTGCGGTCAAATGAGCCAAACGACCTTCCAACTTCGAAAGGACCGAATCTATAAAAACAGAAAAGAAAACAGTCGCCATAAAACTTTGGCTGTATTAAATTTAAAATCAAAAATTTCACAGTCGAAGAACCTATGTAGAAGTAACGGGAGCCACGGACTGTACTGCGATGTGGAAAGGTATATTGCGAATAGAATGCTCCAATTAACTGTATCACTTGCACTTCTGCAAATGGAAATTTCAGACCGAAAAGATATTTCAAATGACATGATATAATGATTGTTTGTGACTCATTGCTGTTGCTTCTTCTCTACCGTTCTGAATTTAATAAAAAGTATAACGTGAGCTGACTTTCTCCCATCTGAGCCGCTATATCATCTTCATTACAATAATATTTGGATTCAGTAGTGTAATCGAATGACCAAGCTATGTTCACACGACGAGAATCCAGCAGTTTTTCGATTGTAATGGCAGCGCAGATCTTAAATATTTTAATACTGATAAGAAAACGAAAGCAATGATTATATCAATTTACACAATATTTGTAATTTACCTTACGTATTGGTCTCTTCAAGTTTGGGATTAGTATCCTGTTGATAACAGTTGCCGGGTTCAGGATACTGCCACACGACTCCTGATCCATACAAAGGACTGCAAGATACATTGCATTAATTGCGTGATAACAAACAAAAGTGACATTAGAACCATGTGTAATTTGCAAAGTCCAACGAAAATCAATGTTGTCTATCATCACTATTGTTTATTTCAAATGTCAGTAATTCAAAAATAAGCATTCTTCCTACAATAAGTTACAATCTTTACAACTTTGTCGCAAAATATGCAAGAGATGATTATCAATCTTACATTGTATAATGATAACTGATTTCGAAAACTTTCCCCAGTCAAACGATGACTCAAAAAAAAAGTAACTTCAAGATAATTTCAGATAATTCTCATTTTCAGGTATGCAAATCTAAAAAGCAAACAGCAGGTGGCATTAATGATTTTTTCATTTATCTTATAATATTACTATTATTAGTATGATATTCGGTCAATGAATAGCGAAAATTATTGAAAACATATGAAATCCTACGTGAAATGAAAGAACCATAGCGGCGGCTTATAAACTCTTTGTGTGGGACGACCATCAGGAATTCCTTTATAAAATAATATAAATTTAGTGAAGTCTTGTTTTTCGGTTCTCTCCGTCCCACTAAATATTCGGTTACTGTTGGAAGCAATCGGAAAGCCTGAAAGCAATCACAAGACTAAAGATAATATCAAATCGTTCGTATCATGAATTAAAAGAATTAAAGATCTGATAAATTTGTTCAGCATGTTAATTGCTGAAATATGTTAGTTCTAAATTTAATTGAAAATTTTAGCTATGCGAGCGTTTATTTTCCGCACTTCAGAAATCATGACTTCTAATTTCATCAGTTCATTTACGGAATTTTTGTCTATCACCTTGAAATATATAAAACTGAGTGGAAAATGTGGCTTAGCATTTGATGATATTGTTCTCAGAAAGATAAGCAAGTATCCATTGATACAACTTTCACCTTTACTAACAGAGTTGACGATTCTCTGTCCGCATTTATGATTCTTACGATTTCGCTCCAGAACCAATCACTCTCACAATAAAAAATCAACTGACAACAGAGTCTTCGTGCAAGCTAAAAGTAACAAATTTCGGTTTCCATTTCACTTAGCTGTAATATCTCTTTGATAAGAGCAGTTTCAATGTATTAAAGAAATGGTTGCAAAAAATGCAACCTCATGTACTGGTTAGATACACAGGTAGGATACATTAGTAAAACTTATGAGATACTTTGGAAGTTCAAGGAATGATCTCGAAGATTAAACATTTAAGGCTATATCCACAATGGGGTATAATAAGATAATAAGAGTATATGACCTTTTCAGCATCCTTCCACACGCAACATTCATTCCTGATCATTTCTTGAGCTTGAAGCATATTATAGCAGCAGTGATCCTTTCGATCCTCTTCAGAACATAGTTTCAAATCGGTTAACTTATCGAGATCCTCCACACTAAGTGCTTTGATATGTTGGATGAGTAACTGCAATCGTACTGACATTTGCATGGGAGCAAAATTTCGAGATTAAATGCTTCTTCGAAGGATATTTTTGTTGAAAAGTACCTTGAAGAAAGATAATTGTATTCGAATGTTAACATATTTCACAACCAACGGTTTCATTTCCATCGTCCTGAAAGTATCGCCCTTAATGCATTCCATTTCTATTCTCTTCTCGTTTATTAAACTTATATTGATGTCTTACTTACAAATCTGTTATATAAAAAACGCACCGCTGAGCTGTTAGCAAAGATGATGTGAAGAAGCGGTAATCGGTCAGCAGGTCGAAATGAATAATAATTGCTTCGTCCTATAAGGGAAAGTATGAAATTTCAGGTAAGTTCAAATATCTGTTGGAAATTTCAAAAAAATAAATATATACTTCAGCACAGCAAGATTTAATTCCATGACACTCAAATCTGAAAAGACTTTAACTATCAGTTCCACTCATTAATCTTAGCAGTAATTAACGAACATACCGCTTCATATAACTTCTCAACATCGTTTGGCGTAACTAGAAATAAATTCAGATCGAAAAAATTATGCGTCTCAACTGTTTTAACAACTCCCTTCTAAAAAAAGTATATGTGAGGAACAACTTTTCCGCATCATGTCATAGGTTTAAAAAATGCACAGTTGAAGGTAATGGTTAAGCTATCATAAATGCCGAAGGATCAGGACGTATAATTAAGTGCAGACCAGAAGTTGTCCTACGATTGTACAGATAACAGTTCCTAAATAACCAAATGATCAAAAGAGGAGTAGACATGATTTCTGCACAGAGCACTGAAAAGTTATTCAATGACTAACCTCAAGAAGGTTATGTATTTCGTTTCTCTTGATGAAGTTAACGATATCAAAAAGAAAACTGCAAGAGATAAATTCCCTCCGACCTCTTTCTTTTTGCAAGTTTAACGATTTTCCTGCCTCATTATAAACTGATTTTAAGAAATTCACTTCACGTGTAACATCATCTTTCTGAAATTGAGAACAGTCCATTCAAAAATTAAAACGAAAAAATTTTACAAAAAGTCATGAAACGAATAAATACATAACGATCTACCTCGTATATCGTCGTATCAAAAGATGGATTATCAATTATGCATCGCAGTAGCAGGAACCCATTTATGCGACAGTATAAAAGAACGGCACGGACAATATTCTCATATAATGCCTTAAAATTACAAAAAACTGAAATTACAGTAAGAAAAATTCTTTCCGTAGATGCCAAATCACAAGTAAAGAGCAGCTCTTTGAGAGTTTTAAAAAAAATGTCGTATAATCAAAAATTAGAAGCCAGAATTAGTTTCTCATAAAGGACATTGTTCGAAATGATAGTGCCCTCTATTCTAAGCGAGAATTCATGAATTGATAAAAAGATGATAATTTTAAACTAGAGAGATATGTAGTGAGCGAGAAAGCTTGCTTGTACAAATGCAATCTCTGCTTCTGCTGAATTATCAACATTCAGTCCAATATCAAAAAGCATTCTTAAGCATGAAGTAAAAACGATTGCAAAGAAATCTAATGCCAATGAATTGTTTCATATCCCCAACATTTTCGAATATAATTCTATGCTCCTTCCTGAAAAATTGGAATATAGCTTAATCGTTCAGCAATTGTACTTTAAAGAAATATATTTCTACTAAATTATTTTAAGATAAATGTTGATAGTGATAAGTCATGTAGTAATGCGCATTAATGTGTCTATAATGTCGTGATAAAGCTCAAGAGCAAGTTTGACAAATGCTTTAAAAAATGAATGGTTTAACGGGTATTTGAGAAAGTTCCGAAACTGAATGAGTGGTAGTTTGCGATATAATTAAATCGCTTTCCGTTTAATTTCTATCAATTTTAAACAGAACTGTGGGTAAAACTTCAGAAGAACTTACCTATATTTGAAATCTATAATTTCCGTAAGAACATTAATTACTTCCAAATTGTTAATACTCAAAGCACATGTTCTTCCTCGTTGACCCATCTTTTGGGTAGCTTCAATCATATCACCTGAAGATTCATGTATATCCTTCACTGATTGTTGATTTTCTTCCTTAATCTCTGATCCCACATGTGATTCTGTTTCCTCCGACTGTTGCGGATTTACACTTGCTTCTGCCGTCTCTTCACTTCCTCTATTTTCTGCAGTGTCCTCACTCTTCCGTTCTTCTTGATCTTCGCTATTTGAAACCATGAAACGAGTCTTATCGCTTCCAGTTTCGCTTCCTGAATCCATTTTTAGAATTCGTTGCCCAATTTGTTTCGATTTAATTCGAAGTTGACCACTGATTAATGTGATTGATAATTCCACCACAACCACACTGCTTGCGGGTTTTTCTACTGAAATTATCCTCTATAGAATGAATGATAGCTTTCTAACATTTTAATACTAAATGATCAAAATGTGAATGATGGAACGATCCTTCATGTCCATCTCATCTGTTCAGTGAGTAATTAACTTTGCCAAAAAAAAAAAGAAGGACAATTTGGGTAATAATTACATGAAGCAAAAAGAAAAGTGAAAATCAACAAAAGTTGCAAGTGGAACAACACAAAACAAGCCAATAAAGATCAGAGGGTCAGTGTGACCTCGTGCAATGAGATCGATTGACCTCCGCTTCGCCCTCCGCGTTGCAACAACATGCAATCAATGGATTCGCACAATTCAGAACTCTGCCGTGATGATGGGAATTGAAAAGCAAAATTAAAAACTTCACGTTAATTTAATGAAAACTTCAGTGAAAAATAAATAAGATCGCATTTTGAGTCCGTGAAGCATGAAGGATCATCGTCAGAGTGACGGTCATGATTGATCAACAGTGTAAGTCTGGAAGAAATACTAGTAAAGCAAAGGATCATGAATTCAACCCGAACAACATCGTATATCATTTTGATATGAACTGGATGTGCAGTATTTCCACTGTACGAAGTTCCGTTTTATTACCATTTTCCATCAAGAGTTTTCTTTCCGGAAAATTTTCTTGGGAATTCAATCTTAAAATTAAACCTACCATTTCCATAATCTGATGCGTCAAGGAGCGTCCCTGTGAACTTTACTTCCGAATCTATGCAAGAAGCAGCTTCAGCTTCAGCTGTACCCAATTTTTTATTGGTAAGAGATCCACGGCCGTTTGAAGAAATTACATCCTGATCAGCTATTATCAGTAGTTTCTCTTTTTGAATACAATTTTCCTTCGCTGATCCTTCACTGATGTTATCCACAATGTCACCATCTAATGTGACCTTTTGTTCAATACTTTCCAAACATCCTTTTTGAATAACCTCCTCATCTACTAGCAGTTTAGCAAAGTCATCCACAGTTATATCCTCTATACTGACTTCTTGTTCAGCAATTTCCAGTGGTTGAACAGTATACTTCTTTATACCTGATTGCTTGATATCACCTATAGCAACACTTTCCTTCTCTTCAGTAATTTCTAGTAGTTCTGCTTTTTGCAGCTTTTTTGTCGCGGTTCCAACAGTTTTTCCTACGTATTTCGGTATGTCCTTTCCCCGGATGACATCCTTCTCATCTACTGACTCCGGAGCTTCTTTGTCTAGAAATCTGAGAACTTTCTTAAAGCTAGAAACATGAATATTATGAATACATAAGCAAAGAACATAAATCTGAGCACTTTATTCTCTCCTCTGCATCGTAATCTTCACTATTCCCTTTCTTGGGAAAGCTTATCGTCTGTTAATCGTAACTAAATTGGCTTAGGAAGCATCAATCCGGCAAATGACCAATCCATTCTTTAAATCTTCTAAAAGTTTTCTAGGAATGTGCATGTTACCGCTGCTAAACTATTTACTCATTTGTGAACGAAAGATTGTATGCAGAAAGAGAAAATTATGTGATAGTAATTCCCATCGCCGATCATGGGAGAAATAGATATATATTTAGAAGAAAGGTTTATATCATCTTCTAAATAAGATTACTTATCGTTTTCACTACTGAAAATGACTTTGCATGAAATGAAATGAGTAGTTGAGTTAAAAATATAATACCATTCAAAAGAATACCTGTTTCGAGGATATCCTTGTCACTAATTGGTTTCGATTTTTCTGACATTTTTTCCCCCTGCAAATTAATATAATATTCAATGATGTCCACAGCAAGCACTGAATCGTTAACTGTGATCGCCAATTCATATATATTTGTCATAGCTACAAACTATTCGTTTTTTCGATATGGAAGGAGCCTCTGTACAGCCTATTGAAATTTCAGATAAAATTTAACACTTCATGCTATATCAACCTTTATTAATTAATGTGATTCGCACCGTTGGTTGAACTGAAATTATACCAAATATCATTTTCAAAAATAGAAACTGAAGCAGAAGAAGTCTTGAACTTCGACATTTCCTGATAAAAGTAATCAGTAATTAAGAAACGAATAATCACTCTTAAGTAAAACCATTTTCATTTGTTTTTGGAAATTGTGTTGATCTGCTCATTACTATTATAGGAGAGAAGAGCATGTATTATTGCTGTGTTTTAAATCAAAATCTTCATCAGTTGTTTTTACATCCTGAATCTCTTGAACCTTTTCTCATATTATTCCGCAATTTAATATTTTGTAGAAAAGATCTTATCAAGAATAGTTCCGAAAAAACCAAAAATGTCTCGTATTTTCTGTGAGCACTAGGAGATACTGAAGATTCTAAAACATTCACTAGCACTAGCTATCAAATAAAAACGAAGCAAAGATTATAGTAACCTAGCCTCTGATCAAATCAGTTCGTTTATTAAAAAGAACGCTACACCTGATTTCTACAGCCTCGTTTGAGGATTTTCAAAATGCTAAAGATCATAAATTTTGTCTAGTTTTGAAAGCGAAGAATATAAGTATGGTTAGTAGTACATAGAAAATGCAAAACGAATTAGGAGGAATGCAAGCTGCCAAATTTCAGTTATTTTCTCAGCAAGTTCTCTTCCATTGCTGAATACCTTCCATTACGATAACAAATACAAAAGAAACTTTATCATACGAAATTTTCATAATTGCTATATATTTATCACTTTATCTTCAGAGACAATAAAAAGCCTAACAAAGACAAAGATGGGACATCAAACTATCCGTTCATGAAACATCTTTGATTGGATGATATATGTGCATAAAGTAGAACAAAAGCAGAAAAGAACAAGAAGGCACTGCTGTACTATCATTTTTATTCTGGCATTATCCGTGCGCACAATTCACTATGCATGGATTTTATTGCGCAAAGTAAGATGGATGTCCACGTGAAACATCCATTTGTCTTCATTATACCTAACGAATAGCCTATTAAAACAGTGGGTTAGTGTTTTACATGGTTTTAGATATTTCCGAAAATTGTTCTAATAACGATTTTAGAGCCGTAAAAAAATTTATGTGAAAATAGCATGAAGGCCAATCAAATCTAAGCCTACAGGGTATAAGCCAAATATTTGATTTCACTGAGGAATGCCGAGACAGCGTTAAGATGACTGACCAAGTTTCAAATCTCAAAAACTTCCCTTTAGGTATGTTCTGCTTCTGAATTTAATAAAAGCATTACTGTTCAGTGTCCTTTAATTCATGTGATGCAAATAATTGGGAAAAACGTTCCGATTTGATATCACTTGATTATTGATACAGTTGAAAGTCACTGGACATTATGCAATTATACAATTTCAGAGGAGCAGAAGTACGGATTTCCACCATTTCCGGTCCATATTCGATCGAAACGTGCAGCACTGATTTCGACACTTTTATTTTGCTTAAAGTCGTCTCTTTCAACGATAATTTGCACATATTCTTATCATTTT